GAAATAGAGCCTCGAGCTTTCATATCTGCACCAGTTGGCGTGGACCTCTGTCACATGGATCCCGATCCATCATTAAGATTCAGTGATGTATATTCACCCATCGGCTCGGCAACGGATGTTACTTTTAACCGCTGTAACGATTTAGACACTAGTCTTAGCGACACATGGGGGAAATCTGTGTCATCACTTACGCCACGATCACTGAGAAACCTTTGGCTGGGCTATGAAAGTGAGCCCTCAGCTGTATCAATAAGGAAACTAGCAAACGAGCCTTTGTCTAGCCACAGTGAAGATCCTCAAGTTAGCATGGATCATAGTTACAGAGAACATGATTCATGGTCAACTGTAAATTGGCCACCTCAGTTTTATGAAATGGAGCCATCGTCTCCGCTTTCAACACCTGCATCAGGATTCAGTGATCCTGATTCACTTTTTGGCTCAGTGACAGATGTTACACTGAATTACGGCAACGCTTCAGACACTAGCTTGGATGAGACGGAGTTCAAATCTGTATCTTCGTTCACCCCAGGATTTATTAGGAACCTTTGGCGGGGCTTGTCGTGTGAAAATGAGCCCCCAGCTGTACCAATAAGGGATAAGAACAGACAATCTCCCTTAAGCTCAGCTAACGCCTCTCAAGTGAACTTCAATCGCATTAACAAGGAACCCGATCTACCACCATCAACTGCACAATGTTCAGCGCCGTTGTATGAAAGTGAGCCATCCCCTACGTTATCACCACCTGCATCACGAATCAGTGATCTAGATTCACCCGTTGGGTCAGTGACAGATGTAAAACTTAACTACAGCAACGCTTCAGACACCAGCTTCGATGAGACGGAGTTCAAATCTGTGTCTTCGTTCACCCCAGGATCTCTGAGGAACCTTTGGCGGGGCTTGTCGTGTGAAAATGAGCCCTCGGCTGTTCCAACAAGGGATATAACAAAGGAGCCTCCCCCAAGTTCCGTTAAGGTTGCTCGAATTAGCAAGGATCATGGTTACATGCAAGCTGATTCACCATCAAATGTACAATGTTCGACGAAAATGTTTGAAATGGAGGCGTCTTCTCCCTCAGCACCTGCTTCAAGATTCGGTGATGCAGAATTACCCGTTGTGAAAGTGATAGATCCAACATCAAAGTATTCTAACGATTTAGATAAAACCTCTAGTGAGACGGAGATAGAATCTGTGTCTTCGCTTACACCAGAATCCCTAAGAAACCTATGGAGGGGCTTGTCGTATGAAAACAAGCCCCAAGCAACATCAATAAGGGACTCAACAAGAGAGTCATCCTCAAGTCTGTTTAAAGTTTCTCAAGTTGAGTATCCTACTTCACCTTCGACAGTTACGTCCAATGTTGCTGATTTACTCTCTGATTCATTGAGTGATGTAGCAATTAACTATCCACCCAGCTCGCGTAACGTTTCATTGAACTCTATGTCTTCTGTGTCAGTATTTCCAGGAAACCTTTCCACTCGTTCTCGAATCTCAAACCGTACCGAAATCGGTGAACACTCATCCAGGTCGACAGGAGCTTCTGAACTGACACTTCTGCAAAGAGTTTTATCCGCGCTAAGAGCTCCATTCAGGCCTTATGAGACAGCTGAATCGACTATTAATGTACAGTCAAACGACCGAAGAGCCCCTTCTCAATCTTCACATCCGGATGGTACTCTCTGACGTCGTCTGCTCGAAGACGAGGAAAAGTGACTGATTAAATATCTAAGGGTCAATCGTGCCACGGCGTGAACCCTAACGCGGACGGAGCAATACGGACTTCTTTCTTCTACTGGAAGATAATCGAATTGATAGTTACAAATTGAAATTTTCACTTCTAGAAACGCGATATGCAAATATTAGACATTGACGTGAAAATTACTTAAAATTAATCACTGTTTGATGTGAGTTAGTTCCTTTCCTTCGCAAGATCTTGGATACTATTTGGTTTATCTTCAGGTCTACCATTATTCGCATTTGTTGTTGTTGTTCCTTTTGTTGTTGTTGTTTTTTGTTAGCAGTTATGGGAACTTCTATCTGCTGGTTGACTAAAATGATTAAAATAGATATTTCCTAAAAGCTGCCCGTTAAGATTGAAATCAGTGCCTCTAAAAGTGAGAATGACAGACTTTTGGGAAGGAGACAGGAGGGTCGCCCTAAACTTTACTTTATGACATTTTGATGAGTTTTGTCTTATTTCTCTCCAAGCCGATATCTGCAACAAATCGTAGGCTCCTTGGAGCCATGCTGATGAAAGGTCGGTTAAACTCTAAATTTTTATAATAATGCAACCCCAATTAACATCTCGAGGAGGTCTCCTAGAGCTCTTGCTTCCGAATCATTATTAGTGCCAGATCCCCAGCGAAACTCTCCTCGACTTGTTTCAAACACATCAGTAGGGTGGGGAACGCGCATCCTTATGATGAGGGCCTGCTTGCAAGCCATGTAACTTTAAAAGAATGCATTTATTCGGTCGGTTGTAATAATCTCTGTTTAATGTACTCAGTATTCGGTTGGGATTACTGCCTAGATTTTCCACGATCATATTCTTTCTGCCTGCTGCAAGCAATTGACTGACCAATATGGCATGCTGCGTTCAAACGACCACAATGCTCCAAGGTAATTTGTACCAGTTTCTTGTGCAATTTACGCAGACTAAAGCTATCCACTTTCTCCACAGAGAATACGTTCCCGAACTCTGTTACTTTCTCGCCTAGCATTTAACCATCTATATTTCTCATCGTTCGAGATCCAACAGGTATCGTTTTCATTGTCCTTTTCGACTTTAAAGCCCTTTTTTTCCATACTAGTATTCTGTCACATACCTTTCATTATAGTCTGTGAGGTCTTCCAAGGTTTATTTTCAAAGAGCAAAGGAGGGAAAACCACTTTTCTTCTTTTCTTCATATTAGTTCATTGGAGTTATGAAATAATCCCTTTTCAAGAGTTACCAAATGACAGTTTTCAGTTACTAAACTTCGGACTTAAGTCACCATACTTGCATTTCCTAAATTTAATGAAATAAAAACGGAAGCCACAAACTTCTATTCTGACCAATAGGAAACCTGCCTTTTTCTCTTTTTCTTAACTGACCCTGCCTGTATGCTCATCTTAGAGGGTCCACATTTTAGTTGTAAATAAGCACTCAGATTAAAGATTGACAGTTGTGACGTTTTGATTTTGGCATGCACGTATTGGGGCAGGTCTATCATAAAGAAAGTAAAGTATACTTTGCTTAGTAATACCCCAATGCTTAATTCAACGTCTGTCGACTTAAAATTTAGCTCATTAAAATACATGTCAGTGACTAGAAACCCTATAAAACATGGTTTGACTGAACATGTTTAGCTGGCGTGAATGGGGAATAAGCTCTCATCACGAGGACACACATTCCACGCTCTATAAGCGATACAACCCAACCTAGCAAAACTGAGCCATTTCAAAATGGCAATTCGTCACTAATTGTTTTGGTCTCAGATTCTGTATACTTTACACTTTTTATGTGCAGAATAAGCTATCTTTTGAAAACTACTTCGACACTCTAGGCTATGCTATACAGTTTACATATAACGTCATTTATTAAAAGTTCACAACTTAATAAAATAGACAGTCAAACACTACAGATGGCTACTGATATAGCACAATTTTTAGAGCATTGTAAAGAAGAAGAGGTTTTATAATGACGCTAAAAGGTGATGTTGCAGAATATTTGTCTCGTGCAACAGAAAACCTTGCGCATCCTACATAGTTGTGAGTACCCTGTTCCCAAGAGGAAGTTGATTCAAGAATAAACCAATTGACATTCAACCAATAATTAAATGGCAACAAATAACAATATAAGCACTAATGATGATGATAACAATAATTGTATAATAATAATAATAATAATAATAATTTAAAGGGGCTAGCTTGGAAACCTAATGGTGCCCCTACCTCCGGGCTCCAACAAAGATCACCTAATTGTATGCTTCTTTTAATTTCGCCTGTAAATCATAAATAATTTTCTTCTTTTATTGCAATTCCATTTTTTGAAGATTTTGTTTCAAACAAAACGACATTCTGCGTTTTAGAACATTCATTCATTCATTCATTCAGCTTCTTAATATATTCCATCATTCCTCCGTTCCACCGTTCCATCAATCTATTGAATAACTCATATCATATCTCGCAGGATGTTGCAAAGAACAGGAATAGGGAATGGGAAATAGGAAATGGACAATAAGGAATGATGAATGTGAAATAGGAAATGGACGATAAGGAATGATGAATGGGAAATAGGAAATGGAAGATAAGGAATGATGAATGGGAAAATAAAATGGGAATTTGAAAATGGGAAATAAATTTTTTTAAAATTTGATTTTCATTATGTGGAATAACATTTTTTCAGCGGAGATTATCGATATTTACGCTTTCTTTTAAAAACGTTCAGAGGTAAAATTTACGGAACGGAATAAACTGATGATAACGAAAAAAAGGTACCTGACACCTACAGAATGTTAAAAAACCATATTTTTTTCATTTCCGAAACGAGTGATAGGTTAAACTAAATGTCTTATGATTGATAAGGGGGCTATTTCAATGTTAACTTTAAAACTAAGAAATTGAAAGTTTCAAAGAAGTTAGCTGTTGAGTGCTCGAATTTTTCAGAGTCCGAGTCACTACTCAACTCCGAACAACAAATGAACAGTTGAATATCCATTTGAAGAGGTCTCGTTATATTTTTCAAAAGTGATAGAGTTTGTTTAGTAGAGAAATTTCGATCTGCCAAAGCACTTGCTTCACTTTTCAAGCTAGTGACTGCAGCGAAACTGAAAAATCACATGAAAGAATAATTCTACTTTCACGACCATAAGACGCGCCTAGCAGAAAATGAATCTATCAGGTTTCAAGTGGTACTTTTGCATGAGAATAGGTGGTGAGTATGCAGCCAACTCCTGAACTTTCAAAGGTTTTCCGCAAACATGAGTAATCTTGTCCATAAAGTGCGAAACAACGAGCGGGGAACAAAATTTACCAACAGCTAATCATTCCCTGCAAGGGATGTTCACTTTTCATTCTTGTCTAATACGATTTTATGAATACAAAAAACATGTCCCTTCTTTTTAAAAAAACAAAAAATGCTCAAATGGACGTGGAGCTTGAAAATTAGGGAATATTACTTGGAATAACCTCCTCGATAAGGATCCATCAAATATTTTTCTTGTACACAACCGGTTTAAACGCATCATGTTAACAAATATTTCCCAGCTAAAACTGGGAGATATCCGAAGATATCACCCAAGTGATACTCCCCGATTTTCAAACCTTACGATAAGATTTTGTTTAAAATTTAATTCAAGATGAGAGCGCGTTTCCTTGCTTGTTACGGAAGAAGGGAAATATTTGTTTGTTCATAAAGTCCAACCAGAGAACACTCAAAAGAACACCCTACGCAGAAAACAGTAACAGTAAGTTTTGCATAGATTCTCCGGAACAAACAATTAGTAGCACCGCAAAACATCAGGTTAAAATATTTGGTCAAGATCGGAATCTATCGTTACACTCACTCATTCACTCATCTCTACGACATCTGTGGCTTTGCCTCCTATATAAGACAGTAGTCACAAAAGCTCAGTCTCACGAAGTCATTCTTTGGAATAGCTGCACCCAAGTAAACGTTTTTGGACTAAAACGTCATATTATATCACTTGATCTTCTCCAACGGTTTTGCTCATAATTTTCATTTTATCTTCTGTCGTTATCATTCAATATTCCTCACTGCACTGCCATCCTTGGCTTAACAGCGATCATGGCGATGTATATCACAGACACGTGATGGTGCAGGCAAACCACGCCACGCACCTACTAGATAAACTGTTGTGTCGTGTCAAAAGTACTGCTCTCGCTCCGTGTTCTCATTTGCATTCGTGCATACAGTGGGCCAGTGGGAATTTGTGAAAATCATGTCTTCTGGGATCTTCTGGTTGTAGCTCTCGCAAACCTGCAAGACAGGCCAGCTCAACAGGATTGACGCCTGCTGACAGTAAAATAAACAAATGCTCTGCCGAGCAGGCTGTCTCTGACATTCCTTCAACATCAAAACTCATTACCATCACCAACATGTTCACAAATGTCATCGTAATCCGCTGTAATAATTGACTTGTCCATCAAAAGTTGAATGACAGCGCTGTACTTTGTTGTATTCCGCTCCAGTAACAATGCAAGCTGAATGAAGAACAACGCAGTACGCAAAATTGACAACAATTATAAATGTGCCATTTCTTACAACATGTACTTTTAATAATGCACCAAATAGATGCTGGGGAGATTTCTAGAATTTAGTAACCTACGGACTTTGATCTGATGATGGCATAAATGCTAACTTAAACCAATCAGGGAACAAACAATTCATATCTATGAATTAAGTTACACAGAGGATAGTGGAAATGAGGAAACTGCAAAGTTCAAGAGTTAAAAGTTAGAAGTCATATGACCAAACTAAGCATTCATCCCCATAAGGAATTAAAAACACATTGGTAAGACAAGCTGAACCGGTTTACAGTCAAGTCGCCCGAGAGTCATCTCGCCCGAAACCTGAGTCATGTTGCCCGAACATGAAGCGTTGTTCGTTTGGTATGTACTCGTTTCTTACTCACAGACATTTCGTAAGCTTGGAAAACTCTTTCTTATTTCTTAAAATGCCATGAAGACTTTGACTACACAGAAATCGATTGTATGGTCAGAATTGAAATATGTTTGAGTAACGACTCTAAAAGTGTTGTTCGTTTCTAACAACAGAGGGAAGCGTTGTTCGTTTCTATAACAACAAATGCATGGATGTAGCGTAACATACAAGTAAAGTTCTGTTGTGTCTATTTGTGACTTTCTTAACGATAACAGATGAAAACACCTGGTAAACGCGTTCGACAAGTCGGTAAAAGGTAAAGCGAGTAACATACAAATGAAATTAACTTGTCGCCTTGCGTAAGGTAAGTGTGATATTTTTAAGATAACTGGCTATTGTTTATGCTCGTGACTTTTTTCACAGCAGTAGTCTGATAGCATCATTTCCCTTAGGATCATAATAGGAAAAAATTATGTAGTTGTGCTCTGTTTCCTCTGGCGGTCGCATGTATATTTGATCCGATCAAAGTATATGTGAAAGGGGTAGAGCTAGCTACAATACGAATACAAACTAATCAAAATGAGCATTCATCCTTGCATTGAGTGTGATGATGAAGCTAGAGCACGTCAAGGTTAGAGCGATGATTACGGTCGCTCATAAGGCCTTTCTGACCATATGATCGATGGCTTTGTTAGAAACCAAGAAAAAGTTTCTCAAGCTTACGAAATGTCCGTGAGTAAGAAACGAGTAGGCACCAAACGAACAACGCTTCATTTTTTTTTTTTTTTTTTTTTTTAAACGGAGAACGCTTCCCTTAGTTGTTAGAAACGAACCACGCTTTTAAAATCATTACTCAAACATATTTCAATTCCGAACATATAATCGATTTCTGTGTAGTCAAAGTCTTCATGGTATCGTTAGAAACCAAGAAAGAGTTTCTCAGGCTTACGAAACGTCCGTGAGTAAGAAACGATTACATACCAAACGAACAACGCTGTATTTTGTTGTTGGAAACGAACAACGTTTCCCTTTGTTCTTAGGAACGAACAGCGCTTTAAGAATCTTCATGGTATTGTCGGAAACAAAGAGCGCTTTAGTGATAAAAAATTTCTCAACGTTATTGCCTATTTACAGTCTGAAATTCTGATCTTTTTAGTATTTGTTTCTTCGGGCGACTTGACTTTTTTTTTCGGGCGACATTACTAAAATTTCGGGCAACATGACTCAGGTTTCGGGCGACATGACTTCAGGCGAGATGACTCTCGGGCGACTTGACCGGTTACCGCTGCACCACACCTCTGGAACATCTACCCCTGCTATACAGACAATGGACACCAAACTTCAGCCCCACTAAATTAACATAAAGTAAAGTCAACTACTTTCACTGTTACAGACACTTTGATGACTGGGTGATAAGAGTTGGTGTATACGTCATGTTTGTGGCAACACTAACATCAATGCGCTACTTAACAGAGCTAAACCTCACCAAACCTAAAACCTATATACAACACCATATAATTACTGACAACCAAAGGCATAATCACTCTCATGTCCTGCATACAATAAACTCATGATATAATTTGCTTCTGTCCAATAATGACACATGAAGGCTTTTTGAAGGCTTGAAAGACTCAAAAAGAAGTAATTTTTTTGTTTACTTTAGTTAACATAGGGTTGGATTGGGTTAGGAACTAACCTGTCCCTTGGAATCACCTCCAACAACTCGGACATGAGAATCAAGAGTCTTAGGCACAACTGTCTCCAATGCTGATTGTGGTACATCTGAACAAACAAACATAAACATAAGTTAATTATTATGGATTCACTCCTGTAGATTACAAAATAATAGACAATAAACTGAATTCATCACGACAGTAAAGAAACATTGTGGAGAAGGAGACAACTTAAAGTGCTGATGCACCATGCTAGGGATGTCCCACTAATAAAGGTGTGAGAAAAGTATATACAAATATAAAAAATAAAAGTTCTAATTATCCTAAAAAAACATTCCTTTTTAAGGCTGTGGCACTATTTGATTCTCTAACATGATTGGGTAAACTTTTCCATTTATTAATAATTCAGTCTTGATTTTTTTAATTTAGAGCAAAGTCACTTTTTCTCAAGATGTAATTTATATTTCTGTCATACAAAGTAGGAGCTTGTTTGAAATATCTTTATCATAATGAAGATTAATTACCGGTATATTGAACAAAAAGGTAACATCTCTCATGAGCTTCTTATTAGATTAATGACAATAATTTTAACTTAGATAATCTAGTATCATAATCATCATCAGACTTAGTAATCCCTTGGGTGGCTCTTTGCTGGACAGCCTCTAATTTTACCAATGTTATGTTTAGTATGAGGGTCCGCAGTGACAACTTTTTAGACCAACTTTGTAAATTCTGACTCAGTCTGCACATGTACCTTCAATAAGTCTTCCCTCCTCTGTCTGGCAAACACATTTGTCCCTACTGACTACATCAACAACTTTTACCTACAGAATAAAAGCAAAACTTTGCATAAGATTACAATTATTTATTTCCACCAAAACATAAAATTCAATTAGTTTCACAGTACTTCCATATTCTAAATGGTCCCCACTCTGTTACTTCTCATCTGAATGTTGAAGAATCTACATGCAGGAGACTGTACAAAGAGGTAATCACTTGCTTGCCAGGCAACATGTGTGATGATGGACAAAAATATCACACAGTAGGTGGAATGGGTAACAGTATCTATTTATTATTCCTGACTGGTTTTTAAAAAAGCAACTTTACTACTAGTTTGGACATTAAAAAATTCTATGGTTAAAGAAAGACAATAAACCTTTTTGTTGTAATATTTGCCCTTCTTGTAATTCTTGCTGATGATCCTCACTTTTATTTGTGGATACAGCCAACATTTGATTTGGCTTCCCTTTTGTGAACTGGAATTACTTTTACCTTCTTTGCTCTTCTTGGAATATTTGCTATCTTTGCACTTTTGACTGCAGTTAACCAAGGAAAAATACATTTCAGTCTAAATGCTTAACCTCAATCTCTGTCTCATAATACAATTTCTGTTCTTCTTTAAGTTGCTCTAATATATGATCTCAATAACTACTGATAACTCCCAATGTAGGAGGAGGGGGTGGTGTTACAGAGAGGGGGAAGCCTCTGCTCATTGATGGCTGGTATGCTTGTATAATCATTTGCATTATATTAGGCAGGAGAGGATAAGGAGGTGGCACTTCTCAATGATTGGGGGATGTTTGAAATCAGTCTGCCTTGCGGAAGGTTGAGGTGTGAGTTATGGTGGTGAAGGCTGAATGGAGCATTTCATGGTTTGTTTCTGATTGTAGCCACGTCTGATTGTTACGTACATCTGAAGAGGTTATATTACCTAAAATCACTTTCTAAGCTATTTAAGGGTTATATCTTACAAGTTAAGAGAGAACTGAATACAAGACAATAAACAATTATTAGGATGTTCTAACCTTTCCTGTTCATCATTTCTTGTTCTCTTGTTACTTCTTATTTCGTGTCCATTTTGTTTTAGTTTGTCTAATAGGAACATAAAGACTTAAGTCACATAAACAAATGATTATAAAAAATACCTGATGGTTAGTACTACTTAACTAGTATTATTTCATTTGAGAATTCTTTCAGATATTCTGAATAAGAATAACACACATAGGGAAAGAATTTAGTTTGCCCACATTTCAATTGAGAAACAGAGGGCAGGCAGTTTTTATCAGTTACTCAATTAAAATAGTGTTGCCTGTTAGTTTGTGCATTGCTCTAAGAGATCTCCATATAAATTACACATGTAGGTCTTTCATGGTCTTAAATGCAAGGTCTAATTTGCCTTCAGTTTGTTGGATTTCTAGCCACAGCATGTTAAAAGAGACAAACAAACGAACTACTGTCTTCATTGATTTACTGGCTTGCTTATGATACATGCATACTCAGTCAGCACTCTTTAAGAAGGACAAAGTAGGAACTGAACCTAAATGTCTGTCTTAATAGTGAATCATGACGTTGAAACCACTCTCTACACTGCTTTTCTTTGTAAAAAAATAGCCCTTAATACCCAAATAACACTGAAAAGAAGCAATGTTGCTGATGTAGTTAGAGCTGATGAATGAAAAGTGACCAACATTTTTTAATCTAGCTCCAGCAAGTAGTGCTATCAAAATTCTCACCTTGTCTTGATAGGGCCCTATATTCAATATCATCTAATAGTCTAGCATTACACTGGTGTAATGTGATATTCTGAAAGAAAAAAGTATTTCACATTTTTAAAGGTAGCTACATCATCCTATATGGTGGGAGATCCCACAACTCATCTTATGAGTTTCTCTAATATTCTACCTCACTTCACCCTCAGATGTGATTAACAAGTAAGTTCTCCTTTTAAAATCATTACATTATCCACTCCAGCAAATAGATTATGCAAATGAACAAGCATTATTATTTGACTATAACTTATTAATGTGTACCAAATTTTCTTGAAAAAAGGGTAAAAGTGAAGAACAGTTCCCAAAAGATACTATCAGCTGTCTGTCGACCAACAGTCAGCCAGTTGGCCGTCTGTCAGCTGACTATCGGCCAACTGTTGGCCGACTGTTGGCCATCTGTCTGCTGACTGTTGGCCAACCATCAGCCAACTGTTGGTCAACCATTGGCTGATAGTCGGCCGACAGTTTTCATAATGTTGCAGACTAAAGTATCAGCCAACCATCAGCCAACAGTTGGCCTTCTGTTGGTAACCTGTCGATGACCTGTTGGTAACGTGTCAGTAAGTTGTGTGCTGAAATGATCACAAACAGTTACTTAATATTTATCACTTCAATGTTGAAACGGGAAAAATTAATCGCAGAGAGATAGTGAGTATGGCTATTGCCTAACTTGCTTGCATTGGCTAGTGAAACATGCCCATATTGGTTCAATTTCATGAATCATTTTCAGTTACTTTCTCTTATCCAGAGTTTTCAAAGCATTTTCGCGTTCTTGGCTGATCGCGGCTTGCTAGCATCCTGGCAGGAATGTGCATGAAGCATGCAGATGGTTTTAAAAGAAAGGCAAAACACTCCTGAATGAAGTCTAATAAAATGCCAAAAAAGGTATACTTTAATATTTTAATTGTCACAATACGCCAAAAAGGGCGATGATCGCGACCTGTCACAAGAAAAGAAAGATTTATCAGACATACATGAAGTATTGTAAACTATGGTTTTACAATGCATTATGGGGCAATTGAAAAACTTCCTTTTTGCTATTGACCAAACAGGCCTATTTTTGTAAAAATACAAGTTAGGAAGAAGGTAAATACAAAATTGGTGCGTACGGTCTGTTTAACACTGTTGGCCGGCTGTCGATAATGTGGCAGTATCATGTCGGCCGACAGTTGGCCGACAGGTTACCAACAGCTGAACATGGGAGCTATTGTTCACTTTTACCGAAAAAAAAAAGAAAATGTTAAGCTACTGAAAGTGACTTGAATGTAAATCTGATGTTGGGAGTGTAAAGGTAAACCACTGGAGAAGTGAAAACATAAGACAAAGACTAACCTCTTCACTTAAATGAAATTGGATTGTAATTCTTGAGGTATCAACATCTACAGCCACAATCTACAAAACCGAAAAAAAAAAGCATGCTGATTTCTAGTCAAACAGTGTACACTGTACATGAAGAAACTGTTCCTTCAATAAAATTTTTTAGGAGAGTGTCATCCTAAAAATTTCAGTTTTTGGTGACACTCCAGCACCTTATAACAACCTGTGCATATATCCGTAAGAAATCTTCATTATCAGAGACAAGTCAAGAGTTTTATGTCAGTAAAATACTTCAATTCTGATTAAAAAGACTATTGGTCAGTTTTATCAAGATGTGATGATGTTGCAGTGAATAGGACATTTTATTCACCTTTCCACACATATCTTGATGAGGACCTTTCTCGATTATAACTCCTACACCAGGTCTGTAATCTAAGATCAGAAAATATAAACTGTCAAACTCCACACATTAGAATATATTACCTGATATAATATATTACCTGATATGTTACAGAAGTCAGCTTTAGAAAAATATTCATGAAAATTTAATGGAAATTTAATGAAATATTAAAGTAAGAAGAAACATTGTGATGGCTGCTTAACAGTCAAAGGTGACGTCTTTTAAACCAGCCAGATGGCCTACACTACAAAAGCTTAATATTCTTATTTTGATAGCATCAAGTGGCAACAATCATTGCTACTCTTCTTCATTTTTTGCATGTACCACTGTGATTTTGGGAGGTAAAAGTCACTTTGAGCATTGGTGTCAATTTCTGTGAACACAATACAACTACTCTAATCACGATTCCAATCACCATTGTTCAAAACTCAATCTGGATTTGGTTGTGCTAGTAGTGGCCAGCAGGCCATTAATTTGTGAATATGCACTGATTACATGCAAGTTTCATCTCTTTCAAAATAATTACCTAAAGATGATTCCTGAGGGAGTGCCTCTCCTACTCCTTTAAAGTGTCTGACACGACCATCCTTTTCTTTAATAGCACCAGAACTCTATTTAAGCACAACATCATATAAATTTCATAGAAGAATTCTATGCCTAGATTATAATTTCTCCTCTGATCGTTTCCTGAACCGTTTATGACAGTTAGTATGACAGATTCAGTGAAGAAAGACCACGAGAAAATTATAAGCAAAAAGTTGGAAGGACTTTCATAGCACTTAATGTGTATTAGAGAAGCCAAAGAGGCTGAAATTCTATCTAAACATAGTATATAAGTAGAACCATACCTTTTCTGTGATTGAGTCTCCTGGTTTCCGCTTCTTCCCAAGTATCACGTCATCCATGACTCTTCTTTCAGCCCCCAGCCCTAAACCCTTAGATCTTGGAATATATTCTATAGGTTCTGCAAACCTAAAATAAATAGTAAGTGAAACATGTCATCGAAGAATAAGTATAATTACAAACCTAAGGGGGATTACTGTCAAATTGACTTAATTGTGTTCCAGATTTGCCAAAAGTTCTGAGGAATGGGGTATTTTTGAAATCTGGACATAAGTTTCTTGCAAAGTTTGACATAATTTGGATATGCAGCTGTATGTATCCGTATTGGCCACATCTTATAGTACTTCTGTACATCAGTGACTAAATGCTTTTTGCAACAAAGATACAGGAACATTGACAAGACAGGGGGGATGTTTTCTAAGTTCAAGGTGTAGAATTTTCAGAAGCCTGTTTTTAACTTTCATATTGCATGAGAGCAATTTCTTTCAAAAGGTTTTATCCCCAGATACAGAATTTTAAATCATCTTTAGAAATAATAATAATAATAATAATTATTAATTATAGTAATAATAAGCTACATATACTTTGAAATCACTCACATCTGAACATTTCAAATGTCAATAGGTATGTAGTGTATCATTACCCTTTGTTTGTGCCTCCAATAGCTTCCCCCTTCTTCCACCCCATTCCACGTAGCATGGCTGCTCCAAATGAAGACACAGGCATATCCTCATAGTCTCGCATTGAGCTCTGTGATGAGAAAAAAAAATTAACTCATTGTTGCTATGTACCAGGTAGTTGACACTAGCTGTCAGTGCAGCAAGCTGTATCTATTAATTGGAGGGGAACAGGGGGTGGGAGAGGGCTAATGCTTGTCATCCAGTCTAAAGCCAGTACCCAAAATAAAATTTCACAAGCAAGTAAACAATTTTTTTCTCAGGCTGAAAAAAACAGCATAATACTGGTGGAATTTGATACCTATGAAAGTTGGTTACACGATAGGTCATGAATGAATTTTTCAGTATCTTGCCGACTGCAACAGTCAAAATTCTTCAGCGAAAAAAGCAAGTCTTGTCAAATGTCATCAGAGGCTGTATTGATCAGCCTCTGTATTTTTCAGTGTGGGAATGAAAAATTAGTCCTTAGAAGACTTTGTTTCTGGCTGAGGTTTTATCAACTAAAACTGTACCAATAACACTGGAGATGGGGAAAAAACCAAGGCACACTTACTAATACATTTTCCTTTGTATCATTTTACTGAAAATGCCCTGCATAAAATGTAGGAAATGGCATTTCCAAAACTCTAAATTTAAAAAAATTCAGGGGGAGCATGCCCCTAACCCCATGCTAGACCCCTAAGTTTGGAGCACCTTTGTTCTCAGTATTTTCTACTTGCTTGTACACCTTTTCAAAAGACCTCATACAATGCCTTTGGTTTCAAGTAAGATTTCAACGGCTCAACTGAAAGGACTCTTAACTTCACATTTGGCTTTTCTGTTTCTAAGGTGTTATTACTGGCCAAATGGTCCTTTGAAAGAAGTCAAACTTGGAGCCCTGACTTTCCCTCAAACAAGTGGATGGATCATGCACCCCTAGACCTCTAAAACATTTTATGATTTATATGTAAATGCAATGTCCAGACAACGTCCCCCTACATGGTGCTTATATTTGGCAACACTTAACACCAAAACATTTGTAAGAAGATATTGTTTTTCTCATATTCCCTGCATGTTTCATAGGCTTGCACCTAGTACTAAAGAATACATGCTGCACACTTTTAAAACTGCTGTACAGGTTAATATTGAAAATTGTTCTATATAATTATTGTGCGCTAGGAGAAGGCTACTGATCAAGTTACAACACATAATTATGCTTCTTGACAAAGGATAGAAAAATAATTTGTCAGTCTTCATATACCCTTTAGGAAACCTATCAATACTAACTTGTTCAGGCCGTAATGCGATGTCCAGTTTCTCATTCTTTTCATATCCTTCAATGTCAGGTAAAGGATTTCTCATCAACAGTGGAATGCTTACATTTTCATTTTCATTACCTTCAGTATCATCTCCAGAAACAGCTGCATTTGAAAGAGTATAAAAAATCTGGTCAAATAACTGATACACATGCATAACATGTTTTGATTGCCTGAAAATCTTATGGACAGTCATTTGTGCTTGTTTCAAAAATGACAGAGCTGTATGAAGGGACAGGTATTTAACATCCTTTAGATGGTGTTTGTTTCTTTTTGCATGTCTACACTTGTTACATGTCTACTCTGTGAGGGTAAAAATCTGAAAACAAAGCTTTCAATCCCCAGGAACTTGGCCAAAACATGATTTAAAGGCTATTTTATGGCTATTCTTCTTTGAAAATATAAAACAGAGCAAATAAAATTTTCTCATACCAGAATACAATTGACAGTAGAATTGTTAAGGTTACTCCCCACCTTCTTGGGTGTCCTTAATGAAAAAACTTGTATACACAGTAGTTTCACTAAATCCTAGCAAACCATATATACTTTGGAAGAAAGCCTAATAACTGCAATTTGCAATAAAAATATAATTTAAGGGACTTTTCTTTAAGGGAGTGTCAGGAGCTGGTAAGACGTGAAACAACTGAAGGTTCTTATTTATTGGGTATTGGACACCACAGCACGAGCAAAATGGCCGCACAGTCTCATTCACAAGGCATCGATCAACAAAAGTATATCAGGCTTTTCTGATATTCTGATTGGTTGTCTAGATATTGGCATCTAAAGTTGGAAAAGCTAGAAATACACGAGTTGTGTTGCATAAATGGATGCCATGGGACAAATATTTCAAATATCAAAATTTCCTGACACACTTTCCTTTGTCATTATTCCTAGGATGTTTTGGTGAAGTTTCATGAAAATTGGTCAAATCAATGTACCCTATAAATTCGCTCAAAGTGGTTGTATTCCTTCCTAAATCAAATGTAAGATTTTAGATTGCTTCATGAGCAAAGATTTTTCCATAAACAAAGAGCTTCCACTAGTGAATTTTGTAAAGTGCATGATGTAAACAAAATATAGAAGTAACATGAAAATCGAGCCCAAACATGAGCGGTTGCCGCGAAAATTCCCTCAGGGAATTCGCCCAGGCCTGAGATTTATTAGCTTTTATTTAAAAATACGTTTTTCTAAATAACTCGGCTGCTCTTAAAGATTTCAGAATTTTTTTTTAATGGGAACGTTAGGTTGAATGCTTGAATTCAGTTTTATCAGATAAAAGAAAAATCTATTTTTTCGGCCTCTGAAGGTGGGAAGTAACCTTAAAGTTCTACACCGTTTGTTTCACCTTTTAAAAGTTCCTCAGCAGCTTGTCTATCCAAACTGTCCACAAACTTGGCATCTTCTGGAAGAATCCATCGATTTTTGGTTTTGCAAGGAATAACTTTCTCTTTTGGTTTCTCCTCAGGTTTGATACTTAAAAATAGCAAAACGACTAATCAATTGTTTTAATTGTTGTTGTTTTTTTAACTGCATATTCAAATTATCGTCAACTCTGTTCATGATTGAATATTTCAGAATAATTGATTACATGAAGACAGATGAAGATGTTGTAATTGTCAAATGTTGAGTTTACCTTTTCAGTTCTTTCCCCTCAGCAGCATTAATGTAATCAGTTTCTTCCTTTTTAGCCTTAGCATCATCTGAATTTAAGGCATTTTTTTCGGACTTGTTTTTTGTAGAAACCTTCTTGGAAAAAGAAAACGATACACCTTTCTTTCGACTATCCGCCATGTTCCTTGCATTCTTACATTAACCTTCATATTTGCCTACTCATTTTATAACGGAGGTGTACTGGAATCGAATCGCACATGGCATATTTCCATATTTCCTGGCGTAACTTCGTAGCCGACTCCATCCTCCAAAATTATGTCTTACTGCAGAGAAGAGGGTAAGAAAGTGTTGTCATGAATTTAAAATAATTATTTAATAAATATCTAGTAACTCGTATTTCCAATCGTAGGTAAAGATAAAGTGATTTTCGTGACTGAGGAAGACCATGCGACCCCAAGCTCTGTGACATTGGGCGAAGATGACGAAGAAGAATTAGAAGGTCTGATCACAGAAAGCGGCGAAATAAACTGGGATTGCCCTTGTTTGCAGGGAATGGCATACGGGCCTTGCGGAGAACAATTCAAAGCAGCATTCTCATGCTTTCATTACAGCGAAGCGGATCCAAAGGGTTCTGACTGTATTCCACAGTTTCGTGACATGCAGGAGTGTTTTGTGAAGTTTCCTCAAATTTATGGAAAAGATGATGAATTTGATGAAGAAGATGACTCGATAAACATGAAATTAGAAACTGAAAAGACTATTAATGGACAAGAAAATACCATGTTGTCCGAAGAAAATTACTCAGCGCTGGTTTCTGTTGATAGTTCCGATGCAAACTCAACTTCAAGCTGACCATTCTTATCTAATGGCTGTTTTTAATAGTTTGTATTCCACATTGGTGGGAGGAAGTTGTTGTAACAATGTTTTTGAATTTCACACTCCTTTGATGCCATCAAAATAGTGTTGTCACACGTGTGTTCATTTGCAAGTTTATTATTTATTTAGGTACCAAGAAGTTACAATCTCTAACGCCTTTTTCCATGTTAGCAGTCCCCATCCCCTATCCAAGACTACGTGGAAAGATGATCAAAGGGGATAAGATTCTAAAGAAACTGTGGTGTGGCATCCAAGGGGTTATAACAAGATAATTTGATTTTATCAGTGGAGTTGGTAATGCAAACTGGCCATAGTAAAGAGTTTCTAAAGCTGACACTTCAAGCATTAGCCCTAGGGGAAAAGCAAATGGTTGGGTGACGATACCTTGGCTTAGGGTCAGATTGCACTATAAATATTTCCTACACATTGAGGGATCTGCAGTGAATAGCTTACTCAACAGGATATTGTGTGTCCACAGCCTTATGCACCACCTAGCATTTAATTGTTTTTTTTGGAACTCACCATGCATGGTTGTAGTGCTGACTGTTGCATGCAGTGCTGTGAAACTGGTGCATACAAAATCAGATTGCTTTAGATAAGCCTGGTGCATATGCTTTCCCAACAAGACTGTCTCAGGGAGTTGTCCACAAGCATGATGCCCCATGCAGTGACAATTAAGCATGCCCACACAAATTTCTTTTCAAACAATGGTGCACCAGTGTGTCCCTCAACAGTAGTATTCTTCTGTTGTTTGATCTCTAAAATGATGTCAGTGAAGGGAGAGTGTTTTTATATAAACCAAAAATTAACATTAATTTTATAAAAAGAGGAACCATTGAAAGTTATGATCTGAACCAAGATAGAGTGATGAGTCCATGGCTCTAACACCACAATTGATACCAAAATTGGAAAACATACTTGCAAGTGCAGAAACTGATGACAAAGATGACCAAAACTGCAAGTGAAAAAAACACATTATGCTACCTTGTATAGGTATAGATTGAAAACGGGCAAGGTTGTAAAAATCATCACCACTCTCACATTGAATCAAATATTTAACCCCCAAAACCATACACTGATGAAGAATTCATACCCCTTAGGACCTAACAAAATCAACTAAAAGGGCTGTTTTTGATTTGAGTTGCACATCATTCTTGCCAAGCTCTATGTAGTATGACTTGTGGTGTAGTATGACTTGTGGTGTACCATCTTCTCCTACCCTCAGGCCACACCTGCACATTCTTGTCACTCTTCTCTTTACTATTCTAGTGTTATTGACCAGGAGAATTTGTTAAACAGTAAAGAGCTACAGTCGATCATCATTTTCTCTAATCTTATGAGTTTTATGTTTGATTTGGCCATGATAATAAACCAGTGAAGTGATATAGTAATTCATCATTTCACAGGTTTGAGAACCAACAAAGTGACCAGCTCCCAGTTTGCTTGCTAGCTCAGTTGGTGGTAAGAGTAAAGCACCAGTATTACAGAGTTCATGGGTACAATTCCTGTTCAATTCCTATACACACCTGACTTTTTTCAGGCTGTATTTTTGCTACTGCTTAAGTACAATAGCATTCATTACTGCAAAGATTACTCCCATATTTATTTATCAATTTGTGGTTCACATACTGTTATATGATTTTCACAAATTCACAGTCATTTATTCATTACTTCATGGGTTCATGATGAACCAGAGAATTTACTAGCTCCCAGTTGGCTTGCTAGCTCAGTTGGTAGAGCATTGTTATCACAAAGGTCATGGGTTTAACTCCTATACAGGAATGAATTTTGCTTTCATGCTTTATTTTCACTACTGCTTAAGTAGTGTTCATAACTGCAAACATCACTCTCATATTCAAAGATAAATTTATATGACATTTATCAAATAATGCTTGGATCTTTTTATGAAAACAATTCTACCAGAGAAGTTTGAAGATTACTGTCTTCAAAATGATACACTTTGCACATCATTGTTGATGATTTCAAATGACCAACCTTCAAAATGTCTTAGCATAACTCAAAATTAGTGCTCAAACTAAGTCTAGAAGCCCATGACATGGTGAGTTTGTTTTCTCTTCACTTTTGATTGTTTCTTCACTTGTTTTGGTTGGGGTGAAGATGGTGTGCCCTGATTTTGAACTGAATTGGTAGGAAGAGTACCATCAAATTCACTGCTCTGTCTAACAGAACGCAACAGATCTTTTGATTTTGAGACCCTTGCAGCCTGCGATGGCACCATGTTTCCTTTTTCATTTTTCTTCTCAGTTTCATTATTTTCTGACCCTTTTTCCTCTGATGAGAAAACCGGTATTGGTTCAAAACTTGCCCAATTTAACCAGAGACTTTTACTGAGAGGGTCTGTAGCTGTAGCTTTATCTGGAAAAATTCCCAGCTCTTTTGGTTCAAATTGCATACATAGAGTCTCTCTTGTAAGAACCCCTTTGTTCTTTTGATTCTTTACCAGATTTAAACTGTGACTCAACCCCAGTCCACATCTTTCACAAATATTTGATCCAGAATCTGTCAGCTCCAGCAGCATGGTGTTAGGAACTTGCTTGTTATTACACAATACACAACAGGGATGAGACTCTGGCAAAAGTGCTACTTCATCACAAAGAGTTTCAATGTCAACCTCAATGCATTCTTCTTGATTTTGAGCAGATTTTACAAAGTTTTCATTTTGAAAATTAGCAAGATCAATCCATTCTTGACACAGAATCTTAGCTCTAGGACCAAGGTCATCAATAGCAATTGCAGCACTTTCATTATTAGAGGAAAAGTTTCCTGTTGAATTTTTGCCATCTCCTACAACAAATGGCTGGTAGAATAAATCACCAACAGATGACATTTGAAAGACAGTGAAACCCTTTTGAGGATGGGAGGTGTGTAACAGGGTGCAGATGCCAATGAGAGGTTTTGACAAGCGAAAAGCACTTGCTGGTGAGGCGGTGAGGCCATTCCTGAGCCCTTTGTAATACCACTCACTATAGGATGATACCTTCAACAAGAAGAAGCTATTTAAGGCTCAGTAAATCCTGAAATAGTTGTGGGTCTACCTTCCAAGGGTTCAGTTATGGGATATTTTGGGGTGTACTACCAAGGCCCTAAAACCCTAACCTTGTCTATAACAAAACCTCTTGCTGCCCTATTCACAAAAAAACCACTTGTCATTTACAAGATTATTTTGATGCATCAAACCTATCCAGCCACAACTGGCATTAAGAGAATGCTAGTACCACAAATGTAACCTGTGCATAACTATTTACCCTCAACCCTACTAAGGACTGTAGTCTGGTTGTTTGAGGGGTGGATAACAATATTCCACTGGACAAATCTCTATTTGGTTGACAGTGCAGTGCATCTTGTTAACAGTTATCCTCTGAAGAATAATTCATCCATTTGATAGGGTTATCCTTCCTTTGGAAAACTAGGCCCTGGTGCAGACAGAAAGCCACTTCATTAGACTTCTCTATTCAGGGGACACAACTTTGTCTCAAATGAGAAAAAAAAAAGCCCAATAATGTCTTTGTGCTACACCATTAAAGAGACAAACCTTTGCTCAGAATTACCCCATTCATGGATGCAGCTCTTAAAAAAGAGGTTTGACTTACCTTCCATGGAAGAGTTGTTGATTGAGGTGGCAAATAACACTCTTCTTTGTTTAAAGAGATGACATCTCCTGCTTGGGACTCGCCTTCAAAATACTGAAAGCAGTGAGTCTGTTGATGATTTGATCCAGAAATCACCAACCGTGTGTCATTGCACCCGTGAATTGTATCACAATTAACATTAATGAACTGAACTGGGTCTTCATTGTGATGTCTCCACTTTAAGACTGGGTGTTGAAGAAATCGATCATCTAGAAGCAAAAGTGACTGATCAGTGGCCAATACATAGTGGTGGGTATTCTGTGGGTGACGCTGAATTGCAGACACACATTCAAAGGAGTCAACTTCGGGTGATGGGATGGAGAAAAAAAACTTTTGGAACAATTTTCCAGCCTATGAAAAGAAACAAAAATGTTGTTTAGGTATCATTTGTCACAAAAAGTAAGATGAAAAATTGTAAGTCTGTACTGTGTATTTCAATGATAAAACAACATTATGCCTGGGGGCATTAATGTGGGATGCCTTGATTGTTACCTACAGTCCTTGGTTATATGCTGAAAATAACAAATTTATTGCATTGCCTCCTTCAAAAATGAAAAAAATGTCAGCAACAAGGGATACTATGTTTGGTCAACAGGGCTTCACTTCGACAAGCATGTGACTAATGTCCAAATCTGACTATGACCACACTTTGGCACATTTTTGATGCATCTGCCATAGGCCTGCCATGTAATTATCACTTATCATAATCATGCTAAACACATGAAAAATTTACTACATCCTACCCTGAAATCCATCAAGTTCATCTCTTTTGCATCTGCCAATGCTATGCACCGAGGGTTTGCAGCAAAGACACACTGGTACCATGACAACTCTAGACTGTTGGGAGAGTTAGGTTGATGAACAGTCTGTAGAGAGTGGTCACATGACCACAAGTACACTCCACCAGTTTCTGTCACAATGATGGCTTCTCCACGAATGTAGGGGTTAACAGCAATACACATGGCTTGTTTACTGAGAGCTAATGTCTCTAAAGGCCTTATAGATAGCTGAGGACAAAACACAAACATTAAGTTTTAAACTTTTCATCCAGAGCAAGTTTCAAACACTTGATTATCTCATTTTATGAAAAAAATCACCCCTAAGCCTTGCTGCCACTTCATTGTTATGAATGTCTTCCACTTTCTTGCATTATTCATGTAGGAATTTCTTTGATATCAGTGTTTGGGGAATAATTCATAGTTAAAATTCACTAGTCCAATGCAATTTAAACATGCATGATAGCTAATAAGGGCTGTAGGCAATCTGGGAGTGAATTCATTTTGTTTTTGTGCACCAAAACTGGTCTTAAATTCTCACTCCACGTTGTTGACCAGTTTTGAGTTTGTCATTCATGCATACCCAAGCTTGAGGTAGTTTATAATTCTCATATCAGCCAAATGACTCAAACCAACCTGGAAAGGTGAATTTATCAACTATGTTGGGAGAGCACCTATTTCTCCTTCTTGTTAGTACCCTTATGGTTACTGCATCATAATTAATGGTTACCATAATAGGACTGGGTGGATTTTAATTCAGTCAGTAATCATATGAATGATTAAAAAAATTTGGCATGAAGATGGTATGAAGTCTTGTTACCACTTAATAAAAACTATGACAACATTTGAGAAAAAAACCAGGCATTGGTTCTACATTTTCATAGATAATCACAATTGACTTGGCAAAATGCATGACAACATGCAAATGATGCAAGTACTGTCCACTACATGTCACCACTACGTGTCACTGTCCAACTGCAAGCATGATGCGTATACTTTCTAATTAGTGCTTAAATCAGGCTGGTGATAACCAATCACATTCAAGAATTTTGTGATAATTTTGATTATGGCTTTAATCATAACCATAACAAATTCCTCAAATATTATTGGTGCATTCCCAGCTTTTTTTTTCACCAATCATTCTGTACAGTTGTGATTGGACAGTGTAATCAAACAGTTGGCTGTAATAGAATACCTGTAATTGAACAGTTGAAGCAGCCAATCATACTAAGTCCACTCAGCTAATCCATCAATCACAGAAATGATCAAAATAACCCTAACAACAACCACTTATTCTCAGAAAAACTGGGGAATTTCCAAAATGAAGGAATTTTTAACTGAAGACATTGGTTTCACTGGAGATATTTGTTCCAGGTGTATTTGTTTTGGGAAATTGAAATGGTCATGATTAATTGGTAACAAGACTTCTTGTTGTCCAATTCTGTCTGTAATCATACTTGTGATCAACAAATCAGACTCCCACTTTGCAGTTGTTCAATTTCATTAATCACTTGTATGATTACAAACTGAACTGGACTCCACTCCATCCTATTACCATTATTAATAACCTATTGAAGTTATAATCTGGTAGTTCCTGGTTTAAGCCTTCCCAATAACTCATACAGAATGGAATTAAGAAAAACCAGCCTTAACCAATGTATCAGGGAGCATGGTGATGTGTCAAATAATGCAGTAGCTGACCCACTGGTTGGATAGGACTTGCTACTCTTTCCCTACCCATCCTGTGAATGAACTCCTTCTGTGACTCAACAAGCTAGAAGCATACTTTGAATATCAGTTATGCTGTCTCTCTCACTTTAACACTTTATAGCACTTTTTCTATTCATTCTTGTTCATGTATATTTTTTGGTTTAGTTTTTTCCTTAATTTAAATATTACAATTTCTTTTGTCTTTTGGTGTTGTAATTGATGATGAATAAGAGTGAAAAAGGAAAATAAATTTAAAACTATGAATAAAATTGAACCATAGCATTATACTAATCTGGAATAAACCCACCAGTCAGTCGTTTAGTTTTCACTCTCCCTCTTAACTAAACTCCCACCAACTTGGCACAAGTATTTTTCAGAGATCACATAAAATTTGTACCCGCAATGGTTTACTCACCCCTTCTCTATACGTGCTTAGATTACTCTGGAAGAATGAGCAATTATATTGTGAGCGAACTCCCACTATGATGTCACTTTGATTGTAGGCAGAGAAATCAGTCTGCCTTATTTGACCATGAATTGCAAACTGCTGCTTTGAAAGTACTGATGTAAGAGACGCTGCACCACTCTCCTTTCTTTCAAACATCAGGTGAGTAGGATCCATTGAGATATGTAGTAAATTCAAAACATCTAAGCCACGACCACTTGGATACATAAGAAGGCCCTGATTGTTGGTCTCCAAAGGATGACAGGAAAGACAGTTTCCTAGGAAAGTATCGTACTGAAATCGTGTCGTCTCTAACGCATTACTTTCTTGGAAAAGATCATACAACAAAAAAGGTGAGATATCTGGCAATGCACTTTCCAAATCCTTCATAACCCGAGCAGCATTACTCTTTCGGTTAGCAAAACCTTGCCGAAAATAACAGCACAGTTCACATCTACACCAAGCCTCTTTAACCTTCCACGGCAAAAAGAAATTTGACTTGAGCGCACCACAAGTTCCCCACGGAGAGCGCTTCAATTCATTTTGGGCAAGGTTCGTCAAAGTCGAGTACATAACGCCGGGATGATCTGCCGCGAAGTTTTCCACATGTATATTAGCCTTTTCTAAACTGAACCAATTTTCGTGTGAGCGTACACTTAGTTCATAATCAGTAAAACTTTCCCCTTTTATTGCCGGAGAACGTTGGTTAGGATCAAGAAATGGCAAGCTTGTTTGGGTTGCAACCAGCTGTTGTATTTGTGAGTCGTGTGATCGGTTAGAATATATGACTAACTCTTTGCCATGTTCTTCCAAGTGTAAGTTTAGCATTGAAGGACTACCATAGTCAACAAACCACTGAGAAACATTCTCTTGTCCAGAGAAGGGAAAATTGTAACCTTGGAATTCTCGTTTACCCGCCGCCATTACTTGTGAAAATGTTGAAAATGGACTGGTACTCAATGCGGCACCAGGTCACGAAAACTGCTTTGAACTCACGGAAATCTTCAGTGCGGAGGCGTGAAAATATGGCGGAAAATTTTTTCCTTCACTAGTGTCATTACTAGCGCACGGACCCAATTCTCCCTCGATGTGGAAAGAAAAGAAAGCGTTAGGCATTTTCCATGAATGAGGAAAAAAAGAAGGAAGAATGCGGGGAAGTGGAGCAACTTTCTGGGGGCAAAGCTTGTGCACTGGGAAACTGCCGCCAGGCGATGGAAAACAGTGGGAAAGTAAAAGAAGAGAAAGCTCAAAATCAAGAGGGCCTTTCAGCTCCAGAAAATCAACGTGGTGCACATATGGAGAAAAATGAAAGGTATTGATTAATGAGAGTAAGGTTCTAACCAAAAATGAGCCTTTCCTGTAATGCATGTAATTCAAAGTAAGGTCATGTCCTTACAAACTTCTCGCCGTCGTTAGCTGCCACAATGTGGCGGCTGGATTTTGAAATTGAAATGATTATATTCCAGCTTGTAAGTCGCATTTCGTTTCCTTCACGAACCAGTGTGCGCTGATATGACGAAGATGTTTCACTGAGAAACAATTTCTTTTCAAAGGTAATCTTGCAGGTATTATTAGAAGTCGAACAACAATGCAAATTCGGTATGGCTTACGAAAATATGGCTTTTTCCAAATGATGATTGCTTTCCAAAAAAAAAAAATAATAAAAAATAAACACCTTTCTGTTTGGGTTATTTTTTCCGTTTGTTGATTTTCATCCTTCCTTTAAAATTTTCTAGAAATGCAATATCAAACTGGGTGTTTGGTGGATGGGTTGTTTCTTTTTCTATAGAAAATATAAAGGTTTGCATTCACTAAAGTACAGCGAAACTGGTTATTGTTGCTGTTGGCATGACGAGAATTTGTGAGCTCAGTCTAAAATTATTTTCATCACTTTTGAGTGATTGTCAATCAAGTGTAACATGAGTTAAATGGTGCAGGGTCACGGTGCAGATAGTTACAAATGTTTTTTTTCCAAAATGTAACCAATGAAAATAAATGTTTTTAGGTAATAAACTGAAATTTTTTGTGATATGATTCATCAGAGGAGGTTAATTTAAAAAGCTAGTCTCGATTCATCTGAAATCATTTTCAACCGGACACATTTCTAAAGGTAATGGGACCAAGTGGATTTCAGTTTGATCTGTTATGAAATGAATGAAAAATTAATCAAAATTGCATGGCTACTAAGCAAAAGTCCAATTTGTTAATCATTGGCGTGATTGCTGACAAAGTGGACAGCGTAAAGTCCTGCTCCCAGTAGACCTCTTTAGCTTCTTTGTTTACCAATTTTAGGTCATGTAATAATACAGTAGAACCTTGATTTAACAAACCTCTGCATAACAAAGTCCTCAGTATAACGAACAATACTCTTCAGTCCGACCAAAGTTACAGTAAAATGTATGGAAAAGAACCTTAATATAACAAAATCCTCATTTTAATGAATACAATCTAGAAGCCCAAACAAATAATTTACTACAATATGACAAGCAAATGTCATTATGTGACATGAGATAAATGTGAGCAGACCACCAAGAATCAAAATCCATCACTGTTTGCCAGTGACTTCCACTTAAATTTTTGCTGTGGCTATGTACCAACCTGTATAGGTTACTCTAGCTTCAACTAGACATTAAAGCACAAATGTTATTTACAGAAATTGCTCTGATCCCAAAATGCTGGGAGGGGGGACATCAAACCACCAAACAAACAAAAAAATGAAATAAATAATAAAAATTAAAAAGGTAGTTAATCAACCAGCCCTCAATGTAATGAACAATTTGGTTGTTTTTCTACAAATTCATTAAATTAAGGTTTTCATTATAATGAACCCTCAGGACAATGATCCAATATCCCCAGTCACTTGGCACTTTGTTAAATTGAGGCTCCACTGTTCTCTAGAGAACTGTTTCTTTTAAGTTTCCTTCTATTCATGATCATATGTACAAATAATATAAGAGAGGATGTCAGCATCCATCTAACAAATTTGAAATATTGTGACAAGTTGCCCAAAATTGGTTTTCTCTCCTACTTTCATATTTTGTTGCCCAATACGTCCTAATAATTGTGGTGTAGTTTTTTTGTGATTAAATATATTTTAGTTTTCAAGAAATTATTTTTTTTGTTCAACCGCTCAAATATGCAAATTTTCACTGTGAATATTACCCAAGTGGTGTGACCTCCTGTAACGAATTTACTTGACCTCTGGTATTTCTGTCAACCTTTCCTTTGTTTCATCATCCAAACTTAATCCCCTGTCATTATTGTAGCTGGCAAAGAAATATTTATTTTTGGGTGAATATTTTGTCCAACATACTTTTTCTATGTCAAAAATTAGCACCAAAACAAAGACAGTTTTAACAATGACCAATATGACAGAATCTACTGAGCTTCTAGCGTTTAAAAGACAAAAGGATGGTTACAAAGTTACTGTAAAAATTTCCTTGTGTATTTGTGTTGTTCTATTGTGAGACAAACTCAAAGTCTGGCAAAATTTAATGGCTAGTGACTATGAAATATACATTGTGTGCCTACTTGTCACCACTGTTTACTAGCATAAATCACTACAATTTGTTAAAAATATCTAACACAGCGCTCTTACCTTATTTATTAATGATTTTATTAGCTGTTTTGATGACCAAGTTATGCCCTACCACATTTTAGCCAGATTATAAATCTTCTCCACATTATTATATCAGTTGCATGACAAGCGTGACATGTAAATTCAGAGATGAATCAACCTCTGAAATTACCAAGAGATGGGTTTTTTCCCTCTTTGCATATCTATAAAAACCTTCCAAGAATTACTGTATTCAGAAAAACTAAACTGTCCAGATCCATCAATGATTCCTTTGCCAGCAGAAGTCAAAGAATGTCCACAAAAGTCAATTTGATTGAAAAGCTACATACTGATATAGCTGATTGATCCGTTGTACAAGCATGTCATCTTACACGCCAACATGGAGATTTGCTGTTCATTTAAATCGTTCACTGGTGGGACTGTTGGGTATAGTTATTGTGAAGACCTATGTTGCATATCTCAGGCCGTTCCCTTGTGTAGTTGTAAAAAATACATTTCAAGTCACTTGGGGAGATCCAGAAACTGAAGTTGATCTTACTTTGTTGCGAGCCTGCATCTTCAAGATGTCAAAAGATATGGATGATTTTACAATCTGCCCCACTCATAGATCAAATCTTGTTACCAGTGTTGGGTGGAGTTGTGGTTCTATTAGTAGTTGTAGAGTGCCTAAAGTGTATGGCCGTGGTAAAGGTAGGGTTAAGTTGATTCCAAAAGCCGATTGGGAAATTGGCAAGTGTGTACCACAGATAGTACACATGATGTCTAGAAAATTCATACTACCACCTTGTGCAAAATTACGCATCCCGAGAGAGGTAAGGTCTCGATTGGGAATTGGTCAATACCCGCCCTGTCAGCACCTAACAACCCACTTTTAACTGCTACGCTGCTACTGAAACAACGATTAGTGGCCACAAAAGTGACATGCAAATATTGTTAATTCAACATAAACAAAAATCTTCATACAGGGTAAATATTCATTTGTGTTGGGATCAATTATTGCGTGACTAGCTTATGATGTAATCGGGTAGGGGAAAACACAACATAAACCCTGGGTTCCTGGCAAAAAGTAATACCCAAGCATAATTTAATAACCAAAACAGCTTATTGGTCTTATAAAATCATAAATAAACAAGGTAAGATTTTTCAAAAACTAAAATATATTTTCACAAAAAAAAAAACTACACCACAATTATTAGGACATATTGGGCTACAAAATATGAAAGTAGGAGTGAAAGCAAATTTTGGGTGACTTGCCGCTGTTTGTCTGCTGCATGTTGATGTTAGCTCTTAAAAAGGATAAAGCTGAGAATTCCCTTGAGACCTGGTATCGGTAGAAAAAATGAACAAGTGAGAGAGATCTATTAATTAAAACTGTGTCAAAATTTGAGAAACAAATCTGTTGACTGTTTCCATGCAAAAGTGAGCCAAAATTAATATTCTAGTTAACACTGCATGGAAATGAGCTATGCAGTCTTACTACACAGGGCTGATACTTAAACTGCCTTACTTTCCTTTTCAAGCATTTCTGGTACACTGTCCTGTCAGTGAGCTAATCAGGCAGCCTGTAACCAATCATGTCTGAGAATGTTTTTTTTAATTTTGATATCCTGGGAATTGATCCCTGGCAATATTTTTAATATGCTTTATTCTAGTCCCTAATAGCACTATATTTCTTAATTACTAAGATACTTGTTTATTTGTAAATGGCAATTATTTACTGTGACATTGCTTTATAACACAGTAAGTGTTGTGTCAGGTAATTCATACCTCTTTTTAGTATCTTGAAGTTATATGTATTGACTTTAAATTTTATTGATGTAATTAGTTTTCTATTTGTTATTTTTCAGCAGAGATCAGCTGAAACAGGAAGATGTCAAGGTACAATAGAACTTGCTGTTTTGAGTACCATAGATTAATCATCCAATCTTAATTGTTTTTAAATGATTATTGATTACAATATCATTGACTGAAATTTCAGGATTACATTTTACAATATTAATGCCAGGCCCCGTCCTCTACCCTTTGCTATTTAAGTGCACTGTTAATAGAAGTAAAATTCTTAACAATCAATGCACTTTTGATAATTACTTCATATCATGTTTTGAATTGGCGAAGAAAAAAGAACAACATGAATATTTAAAGTTTGCATTGGTTTTTATCTATATCCTGACAAATAATACTTTGAATTGAACATCTGTCAATTGGTCAACAACATTGAAATAGAGACCAGTAAGTTGGCAATCTATAGCCTTTGTGTAATATTATCGAGATGTGGAGAGTACAGTGTTGGTTTAGTATTAAACCTGTTTTTCACCCAGGACTCCCTTAAACAAAAGTATTACAGTGTATTATTATAAAATTGGTATTACTTTTACGATTATTTTTCAAGGATGAAAATAAAGTGGATAGTAATAAAGTAAAGGAGGATGAGAATGAAGAAGAATTAAGAAAGGAAGAGGAAGAAGTGGTTTGTTTTATGATACTCTTACTGATCTTGATTTAAGTCTTTGTTTATTTGAAGTTTATTTTAACAAAATATAGTGGACTATTTTTATTGTTTACCAAACAAGCAACAAGCTATGAAAGAAGCAAAAGAACTGGTTGATCAGAAACTTGCTCTGCGGGAGAAGAATCTTTCTGCCATTGGTTAGTGCTGCATCTTGAATTATAGCTCTTCTTTTTAGAATCTAGTGTTAAACAAAAGACCTCTGCACATTGAAGGCTCTGGGGAATAAATTAGAGTTTGCATTAGTTTTATTTTTCAGTGCATCACAGATATATGAAATGTTTAACAATGAATTATAAGATATCAGAGCAAGGTAATAATGGCTAAGCAAACTTGTGATGTACATCAGTTAGATTAACCAATATTTGCTCTTGCTTAGTACACTGTATTACATGTACTATACCAGTGAATGTAATTATGGTAGGAAGGCTGCACTGAAATGATCTGAAAAGTGCACACTAATTAATTTCAAATCTTTCATAGACACATCTCTCAATTACTTATAAGGTGTAGCTAATTTAATAGTTATAAAAGTTGCCAGCATATAATTGGTTTTAATTATTTATATGCACAAGCTATTCTAGCTTATGTAAAATAGTTTATTTGTTGAATTATGGGTATTAATTATTTAAATTTTGCAACATCATTTTTCTGTCAGTCCAACGACCTGAAGAGTCTTATTTTAAAGGAAAAGATTCTTCTGTGAAGAAAAATTCTGCATTCATCAAGAAATTGGTATGGTCTTTCATTTTTATATAGACTAGTAATCCAACATTGTTAACTTTATACAGTTATTTTGTTCCTTTTTTTCTTATGAAAAGAATAAAAAAAGGTATAGAGCCTGAACAAATTTCATATTAGCTGGTTACTAGCTTTTCAAAATCCAACTGAAATCATTTGCAGGAGCTCAAAGTGTGAATCTTATCCTACTTTGAATAATAGTTAGGGGTGTTTTGATTATAGAGGACAATCACAGAAGCCCAGCGTGAGTCTCTGGAGCAGGAATTTGCTGGTTTGAACCTCTCAAGATATGTTCAGGAAGCGGTAAGCATTCCACTTTTTATTATAAATCAACACATTAATATTAATCTTATCCCTCAGTGAGGTTTATTGTTCCTGTGCAGCTTTCTTTGGTCTGAAAGACTGAAAGGTTCTTTACTGTTTCTTTCAACAGGTTGCTGCAGTTATCGATGGTGTACCCAAATTGAAGGTACCAGTATCTTACCAACAATTTTATCTTTGAATAGAACTGCTTTGATCCAAATTTACATGATGGTGAATTAAAAAGAAAAAACTCTATTTTGATAATTGGTGTTCAAGAAAAAATATAATAAAGGAACAAGCAACAAATGGACAGAACACTGGTCTGTTGATAATTATGAGTTCAGAATGTTTGAAAGTTTTAGTCCTTGTTCCTCTCTTTAAATAAGTCTTTGAGAAATATTTTTGTGGATCAAAAACATTCAAATTGTATCTCAGTAATTGCTAAAGCCACTAAATCATAGCTACAAGGCCAGGGAATTAATTAACAAAGGCATTACTAGCTGTATTATATCAAATGCCTTACAATCTGTCTTTTTTTTGTTATCCATCTGATTAGTGGTGTAAAGGAAATTGGTTTAATTTGAAAATCTCTGGTATACACAAATAATGTGGAAGGATTAGACTTCCTTCCAAAACTTGAATTAATTCATAAATTAATTCAGAAGTGTGATTTTTGTTAACAGACAAATAAAATGTATTTCTCTATTTTCTTAAAGCTAGCTGATGTGAGATGTGCAGGTCATGTCTGTGGCTTAATTCATCAAGTGTATGGTGACTTCAGTGAACCACTGAAAAAGGGACTTGTTAAGATATTTGATGGATATGGTGGCAAAGATGAGGAAAAGGTATTTCCTAGAGCAATTACAACTGTTTTATATTAGTTACTTAGTACTGTGACACTAACCTTTCGTACTTCAAATTTATAGTGTCTTAACGTTGTGTTTCCTCAACAGCCAATTGGTAAATTGGGGTGGTCATATCATAAACTACTTATTGACTGAGTTTGGTCAGGCTGTACAGGAAAATATTTGGCCCTTGGTCATTGGTTGTGCTTGATCCATACACTGTGTCTTAACCTGGAGCCAAATATTTTCCCACTGCCCTCTCACTCAGATAATGAGTACGTATGAAACTGATACTTCAGTACATTTGATGATGATGAAGATACCGTAATTTCCGGCCATTTGCCCGCGGGTAATCTGTTGATTTTGCATTAAACACGCCCCACTGCGGGTAATAGGGAGGTGCAGGTTATGTGACAATTTTAAAATCTACTGGTAGTTGAATTGAAAAAAATTATCACCAACATGCATTTCCACCTCTCAAATGAATTTTATTGTATTAAGAGTGCCGCAAAGTGGCATGAAAACATGATGCTGACTCGAGTTTATTTCATGCATAAATAGTGGCACGATGAACAAATTGCTATCGGCACATGTGAAAACCAAACCTTTGATGCTGACAAAAATAATCCAAAGATATCTGGCGCATCAGTAACAAATTTCCAATTAACAATAGTTTGAGCTAAAGAGAATTTTCCCGTTTTAAGGAACTTGTTAGGCCCAATAGAACCGGAGATATCGATTTTTTTCAGAAATCGCCAACAGTACTTTTTAATTCAAGTTTTAACACTCACCCAGCTTTTTTTCAACAAATCAACATGGCGCTGAACGATCACTCGCACAAAATGTGGCCACAAATTCGCATTCTGTCAAGTATGAAACGTTGAGATTTGGGCATGGGCCACTAGTGTTTTTACTGTATAATTTTATCAATAAAGTACATGCTAATATTGACACAGAACTGTGCATGTGTCCGAATTTCTTTGACCTTTAAACTTGACAAAGATACTTTCAAGTTTTCGAAAGTTGGATCAGACAACTTTTAAAAGACTGAAATGTATCACCCTAATGTCATGTTTCCGCCACCAAAAAGTTGAATAACACAACGTTCGGGTTATCCACCAGTGCGGGTAATCTGTTGACTTTTTTTTTTGCCGTATGCAATAATCGGCAGGTGCGGGTAATCGGCCGTTTGGGTAAACGACCGAAAAAAAGATAAAATACATCAACAAAATGTGTAAGTTAACAATGATTAAAAGGTGAAAAGTAATAAAAACTACATAACCCCAATTACATATATTTCAAAATTGCTGAAACTCAAAATAACATCCATCGATGGTTCATGTTTATGTATTCAGTTATTACTCCTAGAATAATATACCTGTATCCATGACTGCATAATTCATGACTCCTTTGTATTGGAAGCAGCTTGTGTGAGCCATGTTCTCTGTCAGTAGGGTGATTTTATGCCATAGTTGCACATCCTGCTTTTTTATCACTTCTGCAAGGGGAGTGTAGACTGTGGTGGAACATGATTTAAAGGCTTCACTCTTGGATACGGTGTAAGGATGCAGGCATTGTTAGACTTTCTAATAGACCTTTAAGCTCTGCAAAAATACCCATTAATAGTATTTACAGAATCATAGGATGCAGAATAAGAAACTAGCTTTCTTCAGCATGGAGTCAAAGTGTGCAGCCCAATTACGAGGGTCTTTTTTGAAGGGTATGTTTTGAAGCTCAGGTTTCCTCTCATAAGGGCAATACCAGAAGGTAGTGACATGGTTGATGAAGGAAATCAAAGATGAAACTGATCCAAAACAGTTTGGTTTCTTGAAGGGAACTTCCACAGCATATTGTCTATTTGACACGATTCATATTTGGCTCTTGCACCTTGACTCATCTGGGTACCATCCTTGCCTTTGCTTTTTTGATATTCCAAAGCAGTCCACCATATTGGACACAATAATGTGCCAATTGAAAAAATTCTGGACCTAGGAGTTCACAGATAAGTTTCTTGACTAATGGGTGAAAAAGAGTTAAGGTACCTAACTTGATCTCTGACTGGCTTCCAATTACACCTTTTGCTCTTCATTTACGTAAAATGTACATTTATTTACGTCAACAGTTGAAACTATATGGCAAATATACATTCATTAGCACTTTCATGAACTTCATTAAATGTGAACGAACTTTCAATAATGCAATTTGCATTATGTATTAACATTCAATAGCATCAACAGATGAACAATTGCACCTTTGGACAATCAAACATAACAAATATACTTTCAATCTTGTGCAATGGTTGATCATTAACACCCACTGGAAATCAATTGCATAGTATGACAATCAATTGTGTATTAGAGACATACAATAATACAATTTGCTTAGAGACACACAATCAATTGCACCTTCATACAATCATTTATTCAAAATGGTCAATCATTAATGTGAAGTGACAGACTGTAATAACAATCAACTAGGGAAAAAGAAATTTCAAAATTGTTCTATCACAGTGTACTGTAATGTAATGTTTTGTAATTTTCCTTCAATTTCTTCATTATTTAATTAAACATCTTGGAATATACATAAATTTGCATAAATCTGTACCACTGCCCATGTTTAGCAGCTGTGTTGGTGCCTATGTTTCTCTGCAGGACCTGATGTAGCAATTGAGTGCTGTAATTGCCTAATGCAATTCCTTGTCGTCTTGCCTCTGCTCTGTCATTCATCTGTTCTTGCTGCTCTGGATAACTTATGTCCACTTTTATGGCTGCTTTAAGACACTTGTTGCTTGCTCTACAATGTTTAGAAAGGGGCTGTATGGTGGTGGCTTTTTAAGCTCAGAATTAGGACCAGGAACGGCAGGATTGTTGTGGGCTGGTGCACCGTCGTAAATGAAAATCACATGTTCATTTGGGTTGAGAGTTAGCCTTGCCTGTGACAGAAAATCATTAAATCTTTGTCCATTCATTCCACCTAGAAATGCTGAGTGAAAAAGGAGTCCAATAGTGGGTGAAATTGCCAGTGCTACAGTAACTTTTCTCCCTTGCTGACCACATATTGGTCAATATGCCCTCTCTCCCATCCTTGCTCATCCATGACTTCTTGCTGTCCAAGTATTGTACCCGCACTCGTCTACAAATATTCTATGATTCACTACAGAATGGTGCATGAACCAGTTGGCATAGTCAACTCTTTTTGCAGGACATCAGGGTGGTTTCATTCAACTGGGAGTGGCCTTGCCAATTTTACACGATACAACATACCTTCAAGTGTTCTTGCTACAGTGTACGGTCATAGATTGTTGGTTTTCTTGGAAGATGCTGTCTCAATTCTTGATTAATCTGTGCTAGTGTTAGCAGTCAATTTTCATCTAAAATGTTATTCAGGCAATTCCTCATTTCATCATCTACTCGAACATGATTTGCTCCTCCTCATGGTCTCTCCACAATCCTTCCCTCTCACAAGTATTGTGCAATGATACTTCTTGCCATTGATTGGTTCACTCTGATAGTAGCGGCAACCATCAAGTAATCTTCAGTACCATCTTTGAAGGCTTGAATAATTCTTTGTCGCTGTTCAAGTTGGATTCTGTTTCTTGATGGCATGATTTTCTTCGATTATTTCTGTCTCCAGTTGTTGTTACTTGTTCATACAGGGTACTCTGTTTCTTACAGTGAACTGCACATGTAAAATGTTCTTCATTTAATATCTGCTTCAGCAAAATGTTGTGAAAAAATAAACATAAAATTTAAATGATAATGTACATACTCTTGTATTTTTGTTCAGTATTTTAAAATACATGTAACTATGATGAATGACACTAATGAATATTTTTTCTTTCAATTGTTTATTCGAAAAACACCAGTGTTTGTCAGTTCGTGTTAACAATTGACCATTTTGAATAAATGTTTGTACAAAGGTGCAATTGATTGTGCATCTCCATGCAAATTGTATTATTGTATCTCTCTAATATACCATTGATTGTCATACTATGCATGAAAATGCTAATGAACATATATTTGCCATATAGCTTCAGCTGTTGACGTAAATAAATGTACATTTTGTATAAATGAACAAAAAAAGGTGTAAAGTAGGTGTTCCTCAAGGATCAAAACTTGGTCTAGTATTGTCACTAGTGATGGTCAACAATTTGATGATGATATTTAAACAGGAAGCTCTCTCACCTGTTGGTGATCTACAGAGAGGTCCTAATCCAAAATAATATTAAATTGTTAAAAGTAAATAAAAATTGCAGATATTAAAAAAGTACAGTATTGTGCAAAAGTAATGCAAACACCTGTCGACGAAATTCGACGAAATTCCTAGCTTTTCAACGAATTCTTGACCGAAACGAAACTTCGACAACATTTCTGCGAATTTTCGAGGCATGTATTGTTTTGAACGGCTCGAACTTTTGGCGACATATTCCTTGATGGCGTTAATGCAACTCAAAATTTAGAGCGAAACTTCGTTCTATGCAGCGAATATTCAGGGCGATAATTCGTTGCAATTGTTCATTCTTTCCAAAAGATTTGGCTGAATTTGTGGTTCGGTACTGCTCTATGTAAAACTCCCATGGAATTTCCCGCAACGATTTGAGTCCTCCGCGTGACCTATGTTGTTTGCAACCACAGCAACACTCAGTGTATCAATTGTGTCGATGCGTTTGGGATCATTTATGTACTCTACTTTTGGTAGTCATCGTGGCCAAAGTTTCAAATTATTCTACAAAAAAACAAAAAAGCCCCTCCACAAGCAAGGCCTCCATCCAGCTGAAATACCGAAAGCGTTGAAACGCGACGGGTTACTAGGTTTTACTACGCGCATCATTTGAAAGTTGCATCTCACCAGTTTCATGGTAAATTTACCTCGATTGGGAAGACCTCAAAAGCTGTCTATGGAAGCAAACAGTGTATGTAGAAACTGTGCAAAATAAGCATTGGCAAAAGATGCCAGAATTTACTCAAAAATAGGGCAATGTGACCTAAATAATAGTTGTTTCAGCGGTCACTTACTAATATTCAGTATTTTGTTGCGATCTGCACTTGAATATTGTTGTGTGGTATGGCACTGCACCCTTCCCTCTTACGACTCTGAAGACTGTACATAGAAATGCACCTTGAAGACCATTGTACCTGCACTTTCATACAGAGAAGCTCTCCAATATCTTAAACTACCCAAATGAAATGGAAGATACCAAGAGGGGGCCCACTCTTCAAACGTCTCCTTATAATGAGGGCATCTGCACACCATTACCAAACAAGAAACTCAAAGCACTAAACAATACCAAAGCATAGAATTAAAAGATTGTCATAGTTTTTTTCTCAAGAGCAATTTTATCTTTTAATAATCAAAATTATATTACATTGTTTAATTATAGAGCATATTTCTATATTTGATTTGTGAAATTATTTCTGGTTTTAAAATTTAATGTAAGAACATTGTAATTCATGTGTATGCAAGAATGTGGATATTAAATGTACCATTAATATTATTATTATTATTATTATTATTATTATTATTATTACGTCTGTTCTTGACTTTGTTTCACCAAAATGTTGTTGCACTTTCTTGACTTCCAAAGCAGATGGATCAAAGGAATTGTTCTTTTATTACCAGACACTTATGAACCAAGTTTACATAACAGCAATATTAAGATTACAGAGACTAACCCTTTGGCTTTAGGCTCAAAAACACCAATAAAAAGCAATATCAACAGCAGCAAAAGTGTTAGCATTTTGGATCTCATTAGATCCTTTCAAGATATGGTGCTTCTCCTTTATGGAAAGTAACTACAGTGTAGGCAGACAGGCATAGGTGTGATCAAATTTCAAGAGAAAATAATTCTGAGTGCAATGACTTTATTGGGACATCAACACAACAAAACAAACAGTGTGTTATTAATAAGGTCTGTATTTATTTGATAATTTTGTCCATATTGTTTCCACAGCTTGCAAATGTAAGCAAGTATCGTGTCACCATGAGACTGTTGGGGGAGTTGATTATTGGTGGAGTTTTTCCAAAATTGTCTGAAGGCATTAAGACACTCAGTGCAATCCTTAGTAACATGGTAAACTGTGATAAAGAAAGCCATGTGTATGTACAGGTGATAAGCAGCTTTGCTCGTCATTGTGGGGAGGACTTTGCAGGCTTCACATCCAGGAAACAAAGGTTGATGTCTGAGAAACACAAAGTAACATTTCCAAAGTGTGGTATAGTGCCTGATGAGGATCAAGCAGTTATTCATCAACACTTTCTATCTTATTACAAGTCACTTTCCATCCATCTACTTAGAGCTCATAAGGATCTTCAAAACAGGGAGAGGCAGAATCGCCAAACTTTAATGGTTGGTGTTATACTTTGTTTATTGCTTTTGAGCTAAAATGTAGTTCATTTTTCCATTATTGCTTTACTTTTGGGGTTATCATTGATTACTTAAATACAATTACCAGTAAATGTAAAGCACCTCAATCTCAGCTTTTCACATTCAAGCAAATGTTTAGACCTTGACACCCTAGAATATCCCATGGTCTAATGTGAATTTTTTAAAAAATTCTGATTTAAGCTTCAGCAGTGTTCAGTGCAGATTTCTTTACAACAAAATATATTGGCAATGGTGATCACACTTGTACTGTAGCTATACAGTGCTGTTACTTATTGTGTTTTTGCAAAGGCAAGAAAATTACTCTCATTCAGTACCTCACGTCACCAGAGATATGAATTGGGAAGATGAAAAGTGCACTTCTTTATAATCGCTAAAAGTAGACTGAAGTAGTCTACCTGTGAAACACAGTGTTGTAAAATATATTTATCAAATGTTTCAAATTTTCCCACAGACAAAAGGTGAATTACACCCTGAACGAAAGGATGCATTTGAAAAGGCACAGAAGGCATATGAGAAGCTGCTAGCCAATACATCCTCTTTAGCAGTGAGCATTTTTGATCATAACATGCCAGATGTTTTTTTTTTTCTGTATTGACATAAACAGCAGTGTAGACCCTTATACCTCTGTGCTTATCTTACCTAGCTAATGACTTTTGTGTGTTTGCTATGATTTGTTTAGGACATACTGGATGAAGACATGCCTGATTTGCCCCAGAATGGTAAGTGGTTGTCAGTCACAACAGCTATTCCTTTTATTCTGGTTTTACTCTGCTGTGCTCTGTTCTGAAGTGATCTATTAACTTTTAAAATCCTCAAATTGGGTAACTTGTAACTTCTCCCTGTAAATTCAGGACATTATTCAGTTAGAAGCTTGTTAGGAAGAGTGTGTTATTGTGATGGAAAATTAACTTCTGTTAACCTCAAGTTTTGCAACAAGGGACAATTTTTGCCTTTCTAGTTAACTGATTTCAGTGCAATTACATGCTTGTCATAGCTTTTAGGACAAATGATCAACAAGTTTATCATGGTTATGTTTATTAAGTTGCTTTTGTCCAGGTTTTTATGCATGAAAAATTTTGTAGAAGGTGCATTTGAAGGTGCATTTACCAAAATTTGTCAAGCTACAACAAACCATCTGCACTTGTAAAATGTTGATGATGACAGAAACTTTGTCTAAATAAACAACTTTGTCGCTAGTGTGGAAAGGCCCCTACTGTCAATTCCATGAACATCTGCTTATACAGTAGTTTGAGCTCTGGTGTAATATATAACCTCTGAGCAGTAAGGTGTGGAACGCATTTAACTTTCATATTTTCTCATTTTTCTCATTCAAGAATCAAAGATTTCATTATTTGTTTCATCTTTGTATAGAGTTTGTCCAGCAAGAGGCTGAGGGAAGCACAATCGATGTGTTTAACCCTTTTAAACAATCAGAGGTACAGTGTGGGATGAAATCAACTTCAAGTCGAGCACAGTTCACATTCACCATATGACTTCCCTGTTTTTCTTCCATCTTTCTTTTGATTAAATAAATGTTCACTGCTTGATCTTTAGAAATTATAGAGTTTGAAACAAATCCTAACATTTCTCCAATGGAACTTTGTTCAATTGCTACTACACCATAACACTTTTTACAGTAGATAAAGTTATTATCAGCTCATATTTAAAAGCTTTCCAAGTGGACTTAGTGAAGTATTCTCAGCCCATCCTTTGAGTCTGATCTATTTCTGAGGGGAATTCCTTGGTCATGGCAGAAAATGTCAGGGTTTTATACAGTCATGTAAAAATTTCTTGTTTTCTGGGAGCTAACTGTTTCAGTGGTGACAAGTATTGAACTTAATGCACCATGTAAAAAGCCAAGAAAATTACTTAAAATTATACTTAGGAACAGTTCAGAGATTCAAACCCACTTCAGTCTTGCTGAAAGTGTGTAAATAGTTAGTTACTAGATGGCATTGCTTTCATTTGTTATCAGGGTGGAATTTTTGTGTAAAGAGTAGGGAAATTTAGTTTCCTCAAGACAATTTTCCTACCCAATTGCAAAGCTTTGGTCTGAGATAAGTTTTTTATTTTTACTTCATTTTAACAATAAAAATCAGTATTGGTAAGGTATAAACTTAATATAGATCAGTTCAGACCTTTAATTTACAAAAAGTAATTACTGATCTTCTAAACAGTATGATGGAAGTGCAGGCCTGTGGGAAGATGAGGAAACAAGGATCTTTTATGAAAACCTCAGAGACCTCAAGGCTTTCTTACCAAAGGTACATGAAAAAACTGATTCTATGATAACACTATATATATACATATACACCTAGTATTTCAAACTACTGACTAATTCAATCAAAGAACACTTTTCATTTTTTGTTATTGAAAAAGGTAATTTGTGCATAGTAATTGGCAGTTTTGGTGATGTAGTCTATTTGTGAATGGCACCTTTTTAGAAATGTTAGAGATCTCAGCCATCAATTTGGTAGTAAGGCAAGTGGTAAGCTCAGGTCATACTAATTGCAGGGATAATTGGCAAATGCATTTTGAAGTTACCATGATTATCAGTAACAGGACACCCGCAAGTAAATGAAAGCTATTGATTTCACCAACAACAGTACATTTCTGTATCTTATTGTCAGATCTTGTACAAAGATGTTGGGAAAGATGAAGAAGAAGATGATGAAACAAATTCAGTTGCAGATGAAAAACTAGACATGCAAGAGCTGGAAAGTAAATTTTAGTTCTGGTGTTCTTGACATTTGTAACCAGCAAGGCAGTTTTGGGTATTTAGGTCTGATTATTAGTTTTGTAAATATGTTTACTGAAAAATTTACTCTTAACCCCTTGCTGGTAGGAGGATATTTTCCTGTATCATGTTCATAAAACTTCAACAGCCATATTTCTGATTTTTTTTAGTGAAAGTTGAGGAGTTTGAAGAGCTAGGTGATGACATTGGTGATGAGGAATTCAGTGGAAAAGAAAGTGAAGAAGGTACATACTTACATGCACTTAACTTTGAATTAGAGTCATTCATAAGTTCCTTTGCCGCTGTAACTCACACATTCATAAATATGACTATGAGACTGATGTCATAAAAATATAAGCTCTATTTAGGTAGTGGTTATCAAAGCTATTTGCAGTAATGATGCTACACGGTTAGCTTGTAACATGTACTTTAACTCTAGTGTACATGTTCCATACCATTAGGCTTCTTTTTATTGTTAATATCTGATGGTGGTGTGGACATGCTCAACATCCAGGGAACTTAAAGTGATGATATTGTTCATTATGTCACATAAGTAGTAAGGGCACACTTTTACATTGACAGTGAACAACTCCTAGTAAAAAAAAATTTACCTTTTGTGAGCTGATTGGTCCTCCTAAAAATATAGCACAAGGGTTTGGTTTCTTAACTTTTGGAAATTAAGAGTTTGCTATCTTTTCATCCCATGCAGGCATATATTATCTAATACTGTTGGGGGATAGAACTTATTAGAATTCAAAAATGTTTTTGTTAATATCAGATGAAGATGACAGTTCATCTGGAGAAACACTAAGCTCATCCACTGGACAAGCTCTGGAGGCAATTATACAAAGACTACCCACATGTGTCAACAAGGACCTTATTGATGAGGTACATGTAATGCACAGTTAATGTTTTTTTACTAATGTTAAGTCGTTGTTTTGGATGTTTAATCATCACACTGTGTAAGCACATTGGTTGTTACCTTGCAAGTGGATGTTCCATCCAAAATCTTAATCATCCATTTTGACAAAAATTATGCCCCGCTCGTAGTTAACTTCTAGAGTAGTTCCCCAACAGTAATTCGTGAAATTTAATTTTCTGATTAACACCTAGGCATGCCATAAAAATTTGTGAAACAGAGTGGGATGAATTTGCTGTGACCTGCATGAACCCAAACTCAAAACTTTGGGTTAACAATACCTTTGGAACTACCTGCTATGTGAGAACAAATAAATGTCTTTTGCATATGTTGTATGTTTTTTTAGGTAGCAACAGAGTTTATGCAAACATGCAACACCAAGGGAAACAGAAAAAGGCTTTGCCATGCACTTTTTGGTGTTCCAAGGATACGGTAAGAATTATGTGTTTAATGAAAAAGACTGCAAAGTAATGGGGAAATGTTAAGGTTAGTCAAGTGTGCACAAATCTACACAGAGTAAGAACAAATTTGAAACCTGTTTCCTGTTTGTAGTATGTTGTCTTGAGAAATGAAATAGACCATTAAATGCTTGAGTTTTTTCTAAGTTTTAGAATTAGTACTACATATATAATCCAATGCCTTTTTTCCTTGTAAGGTTGGATCTGTTACCAATGTATGCTCGCCTGGTGGCCACTCTTGATCCCTGTGCTCCTGATCTTGCACCTGAGCTTATGCAGCAGCTGAAAGGAGAATTCAAATTTCGCGTAAGCAAGTTGAAGGAAAAATAGTTTTAAAAAAAATTATGGCAGCTTTTTATGTCTCATAAATACTTTGACTACTGATATGAGTTGAGTGATTTATTCTTTGTTTTATTTAGATACTCTAGCGGTTCCATGTTGTTTTATAGGTGCGTAAAAAGGATCAGATTAATGTTGAGTCAAAAATAAAGACCGTGAGATTCATAGGTAAGAACTATTTATGTTAACACATACTGCTTCTAGAGCAACCCTTCCAAAATGGAATATTTGTTAAGATAATTATTAGCAAATATAATTATAGTATAGTACCATGTATTTTGCACTTTCTTTCATTGTTCCTGCAGGTGAATTAACTAAGTTCCATATGTTCCCAAAAGGAGAAGCTCTACACTGTTTGAAGGTGAGATGAAATTTTGTTCATCCCATTTGTACCCCACTGTTGCCTCACTCTGCCAAATGCTTTAACAGTAGGATATTTTTCTTGCAACATCCATCCTCTCCTAGAATTTAAGGGTACATCAGTCACTTAGTTGATTAATATATGAAGACTCTTAATCCTCTATTTCATGACTATCTTAAATCCTTTGCTCCTGTCTAAACAGCTTCAGGTCTGCTCAACGTTAGATTTCCAGCAGTTGGTCACTGCCGTCAAGAGTTGTCAAAATCATATAAATAAGAAGATAATGATTCTCTAGCACCTGAGCTTGCCATTTACAGATAGGAAGTAGAGCTCAGTAAGAGTCATGATTGTGTATAAGACTACATTCTGTGGTTTGAAAATCAGCCACTTGAAACTTCTTACTATTGAATGAAAAACTGTTTGATGTTTGATGTTTTTATTCAGGTTTCCGTGGTAAGCTAAGTTTTGAACAATGTAATTTACTTTGAGTAAAAATTTACATAGTGAAGGGTCACTGTCAGCTGGTTTTTAATTACAGAGCCCTTTGATCACTTCTCATCAATCAACAATTTAATTGGGTGAGCTTTCTGGGTAATAGTGATTTTTAATTTTTGGTCTCCTCTCAATTGTAAACTTTTTTCTGTCTAAGTTACATGAAATGAACTCTTTGATTTTTTATTTTAGATGCTTTTGGAAGATTTTACCCACCATAACATTGAGATGGCCTGTAACTTGTTGGAAGTGTGTGGCAGATTTCTGTACCGCTCACCAGACTCGCATATCAGAACTAAAAACTTGTTGGTGAGTTCAGTTTTGCAAGATTTTGTTGGGTAATTGTAATAGTAATGATTGTTATTGATTATCTATTTTTCAGTTATTTAGATTCATATAATATTTATCATTTTTGTGAGGAAATGAATGAGCCTTCCTATCCGTGATTGTACTGATAAAATTCATTTGTTTGGACAAATGTTGATAAGGTTAGGAATATGTATTATTTCAGGTGCATGTAATCATATAACAAATAAGCTGGCTGTTATTTTTGAGCTTCATACACCTCCATTTTTTGTATTTTTGAATAAACGTGACTTCACATAAAGCCATAACTCTTTAAGTTACATGAAGTTATCTTACCGTCCGTAACTTATTGTCTCCCTTCCATACACAAGGAGCTGATGATGAGAAAGAAAGCTGTCCAGAATCTGGACAGTCGTCAGTTGACCTTGATTGAGAATGCGTTCTTCTACTGTAACCCTCCAGAAAGGCAAAAGGTGATTCTTATCAAAAAGCTTTCATCCTCACATCTTAGTGCCTCGTATGAGGCGTATGAGTAAAGTTTAATCTTCGCATATTTTAAAGCTGGTCTTCAACATGTTATATACATAGTTTAAGTGTGTTATAATTTGCTTAATTTTCTCCTGTAACCATCTTTGTTTTTCTTAGGACCGTAATAATAAATAATAACTGCCCAGGGGATTGGGCTGTTCCTATTGATATTTATATTTTCGTTGTCGAGTGTGATAAATTTAAAAGTGTACTTTGTTGTACAAAACAGTCAAAGAAAGAATATTTCGTATAATTTCAGCTGATGTTATGTCACTTTGCTAACCACAACTCGTTGCTTGGTTAGTTTCAATTCCATGAGCAATTGGCATTAATAAAAATCATAAGATATGGTTTATTGTCTATAGGTTGCTCAGAAAGAGCGTCCTCCGATGCAGGAGTACATCCGTAAATTACTCTACAAAGACCTCTCCAAAACCACAACAGAGAAGGTATATAGAATGAGAAAGATGGAAATTTTGAGTTCAGTAATGAAATAAAGACTTTTCTTAAGAGAAGGTATAGTGGTATAGAGTACACTGTGTGAGGCGGAGGGGTATAATAGTGCTCGTGAGAATCGTTTTGAAAAGTAGTGTTGTTAGTGACAGTGACTGATGATTGGAAGTCAGTGATAGTCACTATCAGAGTAAATTGAAGGGTTCTTTGTCAGATTTTTTAATTTTGCTTTCAAGGCTGGGTAATCACAGCTGACAAACGCTGCTACAGTCTTAATGCAAGGAACATGATTATCTCGGAAAAAGGCACAAGTCAGTTTCATAAACCAGACCTCGACTGACAGACAGTTTTTCATTTAAATTTGGTGATTACAGTTTACTTCTGTTTAGACTGTCGAAGCCGCCATAAAAACAGTACTTTTCAGGACCACTCGGTATAAAATCACAGAAATCGATCGGCTGAAGCAGCTCTTTAGATTGATGTTACCATAAAGAACTTAAGATAGTTATACAGAGGCAAGCTTTGACTTCCTTTAAAGGTTTTGTATGAATGCAGTTGTAAAAAGATTTTTGCTAATTCAAGATTATTTACGCACCTTGGAAATTTAAAAAAGTGTAAATTCTGTTAAAGGATCAAAAGTTCGCTGTCAACTTACCAGAAGATCGAGAAGGTTTAAACATATGAAAAGAGTTGTGACATGAGCACTACTCAGCTGTAGTCTTTGTGACTATGCCCTGATTCATTTAGATATATGAGGTAAAATACTCAGTTGATTACGTTAGTTTTGATTATTTTCCGGCAGGTACTACGACAAATACGAAAACTACCCTGGAATGAACCACAGGTATATCTGTAAATCTGGTTGTTGAGGCGTTATCAGAACATTTTGAGAAAAGTTTGAATAATAGAAAAAATATATATTCATTTACTGAGCCAACTGTGATAAGTGCGAGGAGCCGGTCCGTGCAGTGTGTGGAGAAAAATTGAGCGCGGAGCTGAAATGTGGCTTGGAGTTCAAAACCTAATTAATGCTTACCAACTTAACAGTTGACTCAGTAATTGCTGGGGGTTAGGAGCGTTACATACCAGGTTTGAATCTTCACTTCCGAGCCCAAGGACAGACGAACGATTTGGATATTAACAATAATAACTGAGAAGAATGTGCTGCAGATGACCGTTTCTTGTATATGAGTTTGATGTCATAAGAGCGATTAATGTTCGGAGAAGTTATGAATTCATACTTGTACTCGTTAGATTTCGTTTTTCACATTCAAAATAGTCAGAAAAAAGAAGCCTGCTCGTAGTGGGATGAAGGGAGTTTTTCATAAATGTATGTGTCAATTAATTTCTGGGTTTGATTTAAACTGCATTCTGTTCATTCTGTCGCGTAAGTAAGAACATAATGAAAGCTGAGCAAAACTTGTCTTGTCGTTTTGGAGTACGATACAAAGTTAGATGAACTTTTTGTTTATGTTCGCTATTGTTCAGTATCTTCTACAGTAGGATGTATCATATCAAATATGAAATTTTTTTCTTGTAATGAATCCTCTTTACTCCGTGCATTTTGTTTGGTTTGATGACTTTTCAGGTTGCTTTGTACGTAATAAAGTGTCTGATTCGTGTGTGGAACATCAAATACAACAGTGTACACTGCGCTGCCAATCTGTTGGCAGGCTTAGCACAGTATTATGTAAGTAACCATTGATCTTATCTTATCCATTTGTCTCATGATCATTTTTGCTTGAGAAATACACTCAAAGCCAACAACCAAATAGTTTTATGACTGTTATATGTATTTCTAGATGTTTCGACAGCAGTTTTCTTTTTATCTTTTTTTTTCTTCTTTCTTTCTTTCTTTTTTATTTTGCTGCTTTGCAATTTTTATTGCCAGCTGAAAAAAAGTCAGTTTGTTCGTGGCAACCAGAGTTTTTCTTTCCTTCGCTATCTTCTTGACTCTGATTTTTGGTGTACCTTCCTTGTTTTCTTCTGTTCCTCGCTGCTTTTCTCTTGTCCCCTCTGTTCATCTGGTCTCCTCTACTCTCTAAACCACCCCTCTTTCCTGCTTATGATTTTGGGCATGATTGATGCCTATCTCATATAAAGTAATTTTACCACAATTTTAGGAGGACGTTGGCCTGTATGTCGTTGATGGAGTTTTGGAAGAGATTCGTCTTGGAATGGAGGTAAAAAGTCAGTCTAAATGCCTTAAAATGAGTTGGCTCTATTGGTGCGGTTGAAATGCCGAGAAGCAGGGTCTTTTTTAATATGCACGAAAAACAAGAAATTCACACTCTCGTAAGAGCCCTTATTTTGTTTCGTTTCCAAAGAGCGGACTACTAAATGGCACAGAATCCTCACCACTATCTTCGTTTTTCTTCAGGCTCTAACTCTAACAGATTGGAGAATTCTTTGGCTTTAACTCCTCCCTTGTGCTTTAACATTTCTTAATGAAAAGCTTAAGTTCACCCTGCTGAGCAGTGTTCAAGAGCGGTATAATCTACTTTCACAATGCTTTTCCCTCCATGTAGGAATGTTAATGGTTGTGACGGAATGTTGAGGGGGGGGGGGAGTGGGGGTTGCGATAACCAGTATCCCTTCCTGGAGGAGCAACAACACTTTCCTAGTCGCTAAATGCTGCGTAATCTCAGTTGTATAAGCTGTGGCAGCTATGCGTGTCGGTCCCTGTTCATTCCCGGCTTACAGTATACGTACATTGTCGTTTATTTTACACATTTTATAAACGTGATTTCCCTTTAGACAAACCTGCAGAAGATGAACCAGCGTCGTGTGAGCTGTGTGAAGTTTTTGGGTGAGCTTTATAACTACAGATTAGTGGAGTCACGTGTCATATTCAGCACCCTTTATTCCTTTATCACCTTTGGAAACAACCAGGAAGGTCAGTGAGAAGTAATACTTAAAATAAATGCCTAAACAATGCTAAGTTTAATTGCCCTAAGACAACGAAGGAATATGGTGTAAAAAGTACGTCATAAAATAACTTGTTGCATTCATTCTAAAGCTATTTTCTAGGGGTTTTCACTTAAATTTTCACGCATCTTCCTTTTCTCATTCTTATCAGTGTTGTCACCAAACTCATTGCGCCCAAATTCTTTTTCTTGTAACATCGTGACAATCACTATCAGAGCTATGTGCCAAAAACGCAACAAACTCAACGAGCGATAACAACTGCGTGGGACTTCCACAAGTGAATTTTTAAAAAGAGCAATATTAAAAACGCGCGGCTTGGGATCACGCTTAATAAGGTTGAATTGATTTTTTTTCCTTTCTCTCTACCGTGGGTTTTGATCCTTTTCTAGGGCTTACTATCCTGGTCTACTTACAGTAGGTAAATCCGGTTTTATTTCTTGACAACAGGTGTTGTTTCAGTGCTGGATCCTCCTGAACATCTGTTCCGTATCCGTCTGATGTGTACTTTACTCGACACCTGTGGACAGTATTTTGATCATGGAAATTATAAGAAGAAACTTGACTGCTTTCTTGTCTACTTTCAAGTAAGATGAAAGCTGAGCCTACTTTTTCAATTGTAGGCCAGTGGCTTAATTATCTTTTTTTCTTTGAAAGATATGTTGATTTTGCGTTTTCAAATACCTTGTGAACCTTTCGCAAGTGACTGGTACATTTACGAAACACAACATGACGTAGAATGGAGACGAGACATCACTAATTTCAACTGTCGATGTTCGAGCTGACGTCTAAGGTTAGAATTCAAGAAAGCCATTTGTGTAGGTTGTCACGTTCGTTCCTAGTGGGACAGCGTAATCACTTTTTGCGCGCGCTGGTCATCAAATATCTCTGTGTTAATTGCTAAATCTCTACAATGTCAGTTTCTGTGATCGCTTAGTACAAGAGTTTCGAATTTTTTTACAATCGAAAGTTAATCTTGATTGATTGTGACGCATGGTGGACACTAACGTTAGGGGTTCGCCTTGTGTGGTTGCACCATACAGCTTTATAAGAAAGCGTCATGATTGTTTTACTAGTGCTACATCCTGAAGAAGAAAGCCGATCCCATATGGAATGAAGGACACCCATTTCCGCGTGATGTTGATTACATGATTGCTGACACTCTTGAGTCTCTTCGCCCCAAACTCACCATCTTTGCAAGCCTGGAGCAAGCTGTTGAAACTCTTGAAAAGTTGAACAAAGAGCATCAAGAACAGATAGGTTAGTGTGGTGTGGTTATTCAAGCTAAATGGTATCCTGTTTAAGATTCACATCGCCTTTATGGCGCTTTTCGATTGGATATCATAAAATAAGGAACAACATCCAAAGAAGCCATTGGGAATTTAAAATGCACAGATGTAAACGACCTAAGTGGAGAGGAACGCAAATAATAATGTCGCATTTGATGAGGTTTGTCTCTGTTTGGTTGAGTAGCTAGTGCGAGTTTTGCAAGGGGCAAAGTGATGCAAAACCGTTGTAACGAGGGTTTTTTTTTCCTTTTCGACACCCAATTGTAAGTTGCTCCAAAAATAGAACGTTTTGAGTTCTTATGGTATGTTTTAATAAACAGGTATAAGGCTACTTACAAAAATAAGCAAACGTGATATTTTTTTTGTCCGCTTGTCCGCGGGGGAAAAAAGATCTTTTTTACTGTGAGTTCGGTCAACTTTGAAATAAGAAGAGTAGACGGAAAAAAATATTAGATTTTTTTTGTAGTAGTATACGACTGGTTAGTTCTTGACACTTCAGCAGTTGAGTGAAAGAAACCTATAAAAACAACTCAGGGACCAAAACCCATCGGTTTTCCGCGATATTAATCCAGTGCTCAATCAACTGAGCAAATACCCCTATGGCCCTTATATTTAAGACAGTCATCAGGGCTCGGCACGGCTCTTATTTTCCTGCCAGTCAAGAAACTTATTTGCGAGATAGACGAAGCCTAAGATCATCCGCACTTTATTCCAATGAAGGCCGTGAAATCAATGTTTAATATGGCTGATTCAAGCTGTTGTTTCATTTCTCTGTAGAGAAAGCCACCCCCATTGAGCAAGACACTAACATCCCAGAACACGATTCAACTCCAATGCCAATTCCTAGCATGTCTTACAGCAAAGTTGTCACAGAATCTCCAGCTGCCTCGCTAAGTAACTCTCCTTGCCAGTCCCCTATGCTGCGCGAAGAAGATGAACACAGTGAGACTGGGGAGAGTGAAGGTGAAGACGAAGAAGACGATGAGGGACGTGGTACCCATGGGACGGAAAATGATAAAGAAATTACTGAAGTGGACATAAATGATGTGGATATGAACAAGGTGTTTTGCCGTAAATGCTTCAAATTCTGAATAACTTCTGTTCAAAAATAGTAGTCTGAGATGTAACAACTGTTTATGGTCAAATAGATGTTATCAGCAGGTCAGACCCCAAACGTCTGAGCCGTTCGACCAGCAAAGTAGGGTTAGGCTACTGTTTCCTTTTCATCGTCTTCCTTAAAGAATAAAACAGTTGAGCCGTGTGTTTCTCCAAGTTTGCTCTAAAAGACGTCGGGTAGATTTTTCGATTTTTATGTAATTTTGCGATCATCCTACTTTCTTAGTTGAGAAGTGTGAACCTTACTACGTTCCGTGGCCTTCTCCTGCAGGTGAAAGTCCTTAGTCCTCCAAAGCAGGAACAAACCGTCGAAGACAAGGCGTTTCTTGCAGCCTTTGATAAGTTGATGTTAGATGACATTCAGAATCGCCGGGAAGAAAACCCCAAGGTATTTAGAATGAAGCAAACACCAGCTGCACTGTCCTTTTATCTTTCCACCTTTTGCTCAATTACCTACCAAGCCTGTAGAAAGTGTAATTAAAGTTACATGTGTCATCTTTTTTTGATTTTGTCAGTCTTCTCTGCTTCTGACTCAACGATTGATGTTTTCGCGTTTTCGAGTACGGTAATATTCTCCTCCTTCCCTATCCCATATTGGTTACCCTGTTAGATGACAAATGGCGAGAAGACAAACTGTAAACGGGTATTGTAGCGGGCTTTTCAAGGTTAGAAGAAATTGGTGTTATCTGCAAGGCTCAAAGAGACCATAACTGAACCATTTGCAGTTGTGCTGTTGCTGTTTCTTTCTCTTTTTGTTGTCGCCCTAATTCGCTTTATTATCTCTCAGGTGCCGAGTTTGGATGTAGCAGTTCCAATGCACCTGAAAGGACAGAGAGCTCGTCACAACAGTTTGACTGAAGAGAGCGAAAACCTAAACTTTGTTGTCATGCTGAAAAAGGGAAATAAACAACAATTTAAAGGCAAGCAAGTTCTTTTCGTGAGAGTTATATTTATTTATCTAAAAGTTGTAGCGCGTTTCAAGTTTGGATTCATACTAAGGTTCTTCACTTCCGTGATTCTATTGAAATGGCACATACCTTAAAGAATACGTTATTACCTTAGCAGCCGAGCTCAGACTGACAAAATGTCTTATCTTATTATCTAACTTGGTTACTAGCTGGGCCCTTTTCCTCGTTTATCTTTTAAGGGCCCAAAAAGTTTGATTTTGTTTGCTGGGTCTCATTCAAAATCGAGTTTTGAAATGCAATACTAGGAAATGACATAGAATTAACTGGTTTTTGAGCTTAAGACCCGAACTATTATTCCGTAGAATTAGATTGAAAATGCCTGTAGAAATGCCTGGCAACACACCTTTTTTAATTAATAATTAGTGAAATCAGTGGCTGTTCAGTGTTTGCTTCTGCTCCATTTTGCTATTGCTTCAGCCGTCTATTTATGTATATCTTCAGTCGTATATTTTAACGTATAAGGGCAATTCACCAATGCTGCCCTATAGAACTCGACGTAGTCTTTATAATAAGAGGATCCTTACAATAATAAGGTTTTTATTCCCCGAATGAACAGATCTTCAGATTCCTCTTAGTTCTGGTCTGGCGGCAAACATCCGGGACAGACAAATGGCTGAACAACAGGAACAGGAAGAGGTCAAGAGATTGGTGTTAGATTACAATCAGAGACAAGAAGAAGAGATTTATAATGGTATTGTATTCAACCACTGCTATCATTCTCCATCTTACACTAGTGGCAGTTGTAATATGTAAGAATTAGTTCTTGTTCGGGGCAACCGGGAAATCTGACTTTTGACTCGTGTGAAAGATGGCAGTAGAAGACAAAGACCAGCTGAGAATATTAACATTGTGAAAAGAGCGAAAAACGAAAGCACTGAATGGAATGCTTTGACACCGCTCAATTTACTTCAAAACTTGAACCTGCGTGGCATAAGATTCCCAAGTAATTCAAGAATACTGATTGAATGTATTTCTTACGGCTGTATTTTGATTTTCCGTAGAGATGCTAGCTCAGCAAAGACAGGCTGGTTCTGAACAGTCGTCAAGGTCTCACCATCGCTATAACAAGAGACGACCTCCAGAGGGCAATGACACCAGCCTTGTGTTTGCAAACTTAACCAGGTAGAAATTGTTCCATTATTTTAACACAGTACTAGGAATTTAATGAACAATTTTTACCGCAATGTTTTCAGAAAGAAATGTGACCACGATAAAGCATTTCTTTTAGAGGACCTCCTAATCTATTTGTAAAGAATATTTAAGCCGTTAAGATGTGCAAAGTTACACTTACCTGATTTAACCTTGTTAAACGGTTTTTCATTCGTAGTCAAGCTCTCTGTTCTCAGGCAACTGTTAATGGTGTTACAACGGACTGCTTTAGGAAAAATCATTTATAGTAAGCGTAGAACCTTCCCGTAAGATGCTTGATGACTGCGTCTTGTAGTCAACGGATATAAATTCCTTCTAAATTCTCGTGTTCTAGGAGACGTTGAGCACAATGGAAGGGGTGAAGTGTGGCGCGTAACCGCTGAAGTGACTCCCCATGGGCGCAGCACGAGAGCAACCCATGTCTCCGGGCTTGGTCAGTCACTCAGTCTGCACCACAGGTTATCCGTTCGTGGTTTGTCATATCATACAAAGTCTTCGGGGGAATTGTTTGAATGCCTGCAAACTATTACCAAAATTCATGCCGTTCGCAGGAAGAATTTTAGAGGGGCTCTGTCAAAAGCAAACTGCTAAGTATGAAATAGAACGTAGTCACTCTTGCGTTCATTTTAGTCAATAAAGTCTTTTGAACGTGCGAAGGCTTTGAGTTCAAACGTTTTGGATACTTATTAGCTGCCAAGACTTTTTCGTGTTTGTCTTGATATGAATTGGTTGAGCTACGAAAATTTCTTTATAAAAGGTGCATAAGACAAACTTTTGACTACGTTCCTACGTTTTGATATCGTATTTAACCATTATTAATAGCCGAGTTATAGTTTGTCTAAAAAATATATTAGCGTATTTCTGAGTTAATGCATTTGTTTTTTGATCTAGTCTTATGTAAAAATTGTAAAGAAAATAAATGTGCGTAAGATTGATTACGCTGCATTTCACATTGTTGGTTGATACATCACACTCGACATTGCTCGGAAATAATAGATCGTAGTCTTCGAAGGAATTGCCTCGGAGATATGGTATGCTGTTTTCCTCAGCTTGCTGGCGCTTACAGACCCAGATTTTCGTCACTGCCGTGTCGTCCCAGACGGCGTAGAGTTTAGCAGTGTGGCTCTCGCAAAAGGCGCTCTAAGTGTTTTCGCTCGTTGACCTTAAAATTTTAAACTACTCAGCCGTGTAGAGACTCTCCTACTGGTTAGATCCGTCCCACTGTCCCATCCCAGATGGATTCCCGCGTGAAACCACACGATTGCAGCCCCTTCGCTTGAGAGGTGGCTATGATACAGTAGGACGCCGTTGTAAACTCTAATATTTTCAAAGCAACTTCTGGTCATGAAGCCTCTTCTATTACGACAGCCAGTTCCAGTGTTCCCTTATTTAAAATTTTAATGATGGCTGATGGGTCCAACAACAATTATGCTCATCAGAAGTTTGTATAGGTAATAACATGATTTAAAGTGCATTTGATGTTAATCAGCGCAAGAAAATTTTTCGAAGACACCAAAAAAATTGCGCGAACCCGTTCGGCATATTTCAAAAATTTATAAGTGCTTATTGCACCAAATTGCAAGAGAAATCATTTTAATATTTGTTAATAATGTACACGAATAAACGTCACAGAAAGTCAAGAAATTTTTAAAGAGTGTGCGCGCTGTTTGTAATTTGCACTCGTGTTACACGAGAATGCAATCGCTTTCAGCCAATCAGAAGCGCGGTAATTGTTTATGTACATTGTATTAAAAACCCATATTAAGTTCTCCACTGATAGTGCATTTCACTGTTAGCTCTTCGTGCCTATCGAAACGAGGGACCAAAAATTTCCTTTTAACTCAAATGAGACGTACAAAGTTTCGTCGAGGTGAATAACTGGGATATTCGGAGTTTGAGTAGGCAATCAGAGCGCACCCTCGACGCCAGCCATAAGCAGAAAAAAAGACATTTCAAATACACTTGATAGAGTGTTTGAGCTTTCAATATATTTTTCCTCCAGAGGGCTTATTATTTATGGCAGTGGAACTAAAATCAAATAAATTCTCATCCTTCAGCTGGTCTTTATCTCTTCATTACTTCCATCCGGTAAACAAAATGGAATAGGTAAAGAGAAGGTCAGTGCATTATTGGCAATCAACTACTTGAAATACGATGTTAGAGGACTAACAGGTTTATCATTAAGGCTGGGCCTGCTTTTGAATTTTCAGCGGTAATGAAAATATTTGAAGACAGTTTTGATGTAGATGGTATTCATATTTTGAAGTGCAAATGACGCAACGAAAACTGACTGCATTTCTTTTTATCCTTTTTGTGCTCCGAGGAACTTCTAAAAAGGTGGCCAGAATTCAGGGATGCCTGAATGAATTTCAGCGAGATTTAATCATGAGGACAAACGAATGAAGGCAAAACCCACACGGTTTATGGTGAATTCGCCCCAATGCAAAATCGCCCACTACCACCCCTGCAAGTTCGCCCCGTAACTTGATGTTGAATGACTTGGGGGCGAACTCATTTTATATTAAGGGGGATCTCGCAAAGGTAATTGCGAATTCACCAATTATCACTTACACGACGCTTTCGACATTGTCGATCCGAGCAACATGCGAGACGTGTGTCACTTATAAACCTACAGGTAGCAATGGCCTAGCTCTGTAATAGGGCGCGAAATCCGAAGGTCTATGATTATATTCTTCATGGGGACTCAAATATCTCTGTCTAACACTCGTAACAAAATGAAAAACATATTTCTTTAAACCTTTTTTTCATTTGTATCGTTTTGTTTTGTTTCTGTCTATTTTAAAAGGCCTTCTGTAGCTCGGGCTGAACGATATTGTCGGTGACACCTCATTATCATAACTGATAATGCATTCATCATTTCATTACTTTTCAAAGACGACATTACGCCTTGAGGACCTTATGTTTATTGGTCTATAATTTTAATCCCACTATCAGTCACTAATCACAGAAGCATATTTGGGATTGTAGAGGGAGTGATGTGCCACCGTGTGCTGCCCTGGATTAAGAACTTAAGGTGGAGACTGAATAAGACGCTTTCATATTGTTGGGAAAAGTCATAATGTCAGGAAATTTTGCAAACAGAGGGAGAACTTGGACTTGGGAGAAATTCAAAGGAAAAAAAAAACAGGCAACCAGCATTCTTCCAGATTTATGGATTTAATTTTGATCGCGATTTCATTTTTCATTGTTATTTTGTAACTTTCTTTTATTCTGCGATAATTTGTTTGTTTGTTTCTTTATTTGGTAATATCTTCCTATTAAAGTAGATAAGAAACAGCAAATAGTTTGCGATAATATCGAAACATAATGGTAGCAGCTGTGCATCTGTCATTCAGTAAGAATTTGAGAAGTTTGCACATGTGTAAGTGCATGTGTGTATTTTGTTAGCTTGTGGAAATTATGTATGTTGTCCTCAATTTTGAACCAATTCCTTTGCGGTTGATTACCATCAACCTTTGTTTCCAAATGTCATCAGACATCAAACACTTGTTAAACTTTTATTTTATTTAGCAAAACTGTGCTGTTTATTTCAATGACATAAAATAATCGCAAACATAGCGACCCGATTTTTTCCTGAAAGCGCCAAGCCTCAACAACTATAAATGTAAAAATGACTCGAAAAATATAACACATAATTTAAAAGAATAAGTTCCCAGGTACGATAAGGCAAACTGCTGTTTCGCCTTGCGACTTTCAAAATCCTTACTTTTCATAATAAAAAGAAATGTAAAGACTAAGTTAAAACCAAATTTAAAGGAGTCCTCACCTTTTTGTATGGATTGCATGTTTCTCCAGACAAACATATTTTTCTGGTTACTATTACGATTTCCGTCTTCATAAACGCCCAGCATTCATTGTGGGAGCAATCTCTTTCAGTTTTACACATGGCCTGTTTTGAAAATCCCGGTTTAAATGAAAATAAAAGTACCTTTGAGTATTTTGGTCGACCCTACAAGGAATATGAAAAAGATTCAACTTGATTTTAGCCCACCCCGTTTATACTGAACCAGCTGGGATTTAAACAATAATGGCAAGGGAAGGATAAGTAAATGAAGAAGCATTTTGAAAGAAAACGCACGCATCAAAATAACTAACACACCAAATATAACATCTATGATCTTGCTGAAATTTCTATTTGTAATTTAGATTTAGCGATCTAAAACACTATTCGAGCTCCGACCTCCATTACAATAACGTCGAAGCGTGAATTTTTTTTGGCCTCATCTCAGAAATGCTTGTTATTTCTGCGTACCTATGAAGGCTATTTCTTTACTTTACTAGACTGGGATCAGTTTCTATTACAGCAACAACGAAACTACAGCAATTTGCCTCGCTGCTAATATAACACAGTAAGTAGTAGTAGTAGAGCTCAGCTTCTATCTGCGATTAAGGTGCGTGCTCGAATCCTGTTGGAGCTTGAATTATTAGCTTCTCTTCAAATATTACGTGAAATGAAACTTACGTGCGGAGGTAATTTTTCCCTTTTAAATAATACGCACAGCTCAGTTCCGAGAGATGTTGACCAAACTGCTGAGAAAACGCTAGCTATATCTGGACAAGGGAATAAGGCCTTAAAGTAACGAACTCTAAGTCGTAATTAATTTTCTACAATCTTTCGGAATTACGCCAAGCTAGATATGAAATGAACCTTCAGACCCCAACTGATCAGATTCGTTGGTGAAGTGTAGCCGCCCTCACTTTTGACGGGTAAGTTTCAACCAGATAGGCACCGCAATTTCTCTTTGCACAACGAACTGTCTCGGAGACTTAACCCACATAGAAATTAACTGGCTGATCATGCACGCGGTTTTAACTATTGGAACAGGACAATGTTCTTGCAAAATAAAGTTTTACTTGATGTTATCAAAGAAATTGGTAAGTAAATCCTCAAAATCGCAGGAATTTTAAGATAGAAAAAAAAACGTTATAGAACAATTATCCTAACAGTTGGGAGAAAAGGTTAAAACTGAATACCAACAACAGATAAACTCTTGAAGGTTACAGTTTTCGAGATTGAAATACAACCTACTTTTGCCAGAAATGTTATGATTTTCCCTTTAGAGTTATTGCATAGAAAAATGATTTTTACGCACCTTCTCATCTCCCCATGAAGTGATAAGGAGCAAACATACCACAGATGACAAAAGTAAATTCATTTCAGAGGTGTGTATATGTCACCCTGCGCGGCGTTTATCTTCTTCCTAACCAGCTGACTGCCTTGAAGAAATTAAAGGAAGTTCTTATAGTCTTCTTAACCCTGCGGTGTATTTCAGTGTACATCGTGTTAATTCAAAAGAGAATTAGGTGCACCCTCTTTAACCTTGGATACGCCGCTGTTAAAACACAATTTATCCATGACTTTTTGTTTTCAGTTCTATTGTTTTAGTTTGTCGTTTTGCACTCAGTAAATTTCTTGTATTAAGTGAAAAACATCGGGAATCAGTTGTCGAATAACACACCTGGCACGTCTTGCGTAAATACTACATGGTTGTCAATAGGTGAAAGTTATCGGTTCAGTTAGATATAATCCCACCTGCCTGTTTTGACCCGTTTACCCTTCAGTGCGTGTGCACTGAAAATAATACCAAACTATACTCAGTCTAAACAATTTGAAAAAGGCCAAATTCGGTATTGCTCCAGTTTGCTTCAAATTTGTTTGATAATTTGGTTATTGCTGACATTTGTCGCCCTAGACAAGGGAAACGCACTTATTGGCCTCATGAAAGAA